TATTTCCACAACGTTTGCAGCGATTTTTACGGTATTATTTTCTATAGAAATGGCACAAGGACCGATACTATTAAAAGCCTCTTTTGATCATTTAAACGGTGAATGAATAGTTCTCCAAAACAGGTGAAGCATCACCGGCGTTACACAATCACGAGCGATTGTGCCGATGGCAACAATCGTCCGCGTAATCTGGTTTGTTAAATAATGAACGCGATATCTGTGTAGAGGATACTTCAAAAAAGATGCTTAGTATCAAATATACAGGGTATTAAAAAATACCCTGAAGACCTCTACACCGTTGGATAGATCACGAAAAATCGAAGTGAAAAGTTCTGTAGCATTTTTCGATGGGATCAGTAGTTTAGCCGCATTTCGTTGTTGAAAATTGAAAAATTGACCAATCAGCGCGCAGCTTGAGTAAGAGACTAGTCTCCTCCGTTGCGCATGCGCCGAGAGTCTAGGGGAGACAGAATTAATGAATTATTTAAATAATTCAAACGTTCTTTGCTATTGTAAAGATAGCAATTTTATGGTTTTTTGGATATATTCGATATCAATCTTCACTACAGGATACAGACGAAAATTGTACGTGTACAATTTATCAAACCGTTTAGTAAATTGAAACAACTGAGTATGACTGCGCATGCGCATGCGCATGCGCGACGCTCAGCTGCGCAGCTCGTCGGCGCAGAGGAGGCTAGTCTCCTACTCCGCTGGTCTTGCCACCCACGCTGCGCGCTGATTGGTCAATTTTCAACAACGAAATGTGGCTAAACTACTGATCCCATCGAAAAATGCTACAGAACTTTTCACTTCGATTTTTCGTGATCTATCCAGCGGTGTAGAGGTTTTCAAGGTATTTTTTAAAATTCTGTATATTAGCCTTGTTAAGGAAAATTGCAACATAGGAAAGGGAGAACCCCGAATGCACGATAACTCTTAACTGCAGTAATTTACAGTAATAGCATCATTCTGTATTTCTCTCTAGGAAAGGCCGGTGTAGATTTGTTTTTGAGACAACCTGTATCAGAACGGTAGGCACAGTTCGCCAGCTCGAGGCCGGCGAAGAAAGTGGCGCCGTGTGAAATTAGATCAGCGTTGGTAAAAGTGCGCGAGGGAATTGTATCGCGTACTCGAATCGTGGTAACGTTCGTCGAAAGTGAAAGTATCAATAGAGTTGCTCGTCCTGTAATGACAGCCGAATGATCCCGTGGATGACCTTTGCGATTCTCTAAATATCAAACGCGTCGAGAAGCACGCGTTAATCCCGCGGTAACCAACATCCGACGAGCATCCCTTTAATTCCTTACGTTTCTGCGCAACTCCGTTATCATCTAACGCAACGAAGAAGCTCCTTTTTTTTCTTGGTAAAAGGTGTCTAGTAATTGTTACTCGTGCAGAATTATTCCCGTTTTCGCAACGATCAGTGGGAAACGAGCGGATGCCGTATCGCGTCGTCGACATAATAGAAATTTCCAACGGACTATCCTGGAAAGTAAAAGGATTGTTCCTTCGAAATTTCCTCACCTCGCTATGGAACGTGATCAACTATAGCCTCGCAGGAATTTTCGAAGGTATTTACATGCGAAGGGTTTTCGGAAATTTATACTTTAACCTCGAGGTGATTAGATGCATTAGAGGATTAAAGAGAAAATACATTATTAGGTTCCACGAGTCTCGGGTAACGCGTTGACTGTCACGGTGGTCAGTGACCGGAACCACGAATTCAATTTAATCAAGTGATTACAAAACAGGAACAGAAAGCGAATACCGAATACCATTAATATCTTATTAATAATACAATACTGCAAACCGAATGATTGAATTAAAAAAAATTTCACGTTATCCAATTGAATTCTAACGTAACTGAATTCGATTTCGAACGAATGAAAAAGCGGAACGATAGAAAGTTTCCATCTATGGAAATGTTGCGGACTGTGCAAATGAAACGCGTATGTATTTCAATTGTTACGAATACAAGAACAAACGTATGTTCGTTAGCTCGGTGGACGTATTTTTGAGCCACGGTGTAGGCGCAACAGGTTGCCAATGACTCCCACCTGTTGCAATCGTATGCCAGACCCACGCAACGTGTAGCCTGGAATTCGATTACAATTTCACCTAACTCTATCAAGGAATCAGTCTCTATGGATCCATCAAAGTGGAACCATCATAGCCCCATCAGAATTTCCATCCTCCCTCTTTAACTTCTGAATTTTCCTCGAGAGGGAAACGGATAATGTTTATTTCTCTTCGCGGACCACGTCTTAATTTAATAGCCACGCGCTTAAAAAGTACACGAACAATGCCGAGGGTGGTTAAAAGAGAAAAAAGAGAAGAACTGTTAAGCGGTTCCTCTACGGTTAATGGGACGTGGATTAATTGCCGCAACAGCAGGATGCGTCTGGCGCGTATGCGGGTCGTGTAAATTGAAACAAGACGCTGTTTCGTGTACACTTTAGTGTATTCGGCAGCGGGATGAAGTACGCAAAAATAGAATTTTGCTCGGGTAAATGAGGTCGAGGGGAAATGTTTGAGAAGCCCTTCTTCTTTCGATATTTTTACGGTCATTTTACAGAGTACTTGGATTTTAAAAGGATGATAAACATTTTGGTTGTTAATAGAAGAGTTAAATGGTCCAGAGCCTGGTGGCTCGAGCTTCCTTACAGTGCAACAGAGGCTGCCGGATAAAAGGAGAGCACCGATGGCAGTGAGAGAAAGACAAAGAGAGAAAGGAGGCTCTGTACGTGCCATTCACAGGAACGGTACAACGAGCTGGCAACGAGAAGACAAGATATGCGGAGGGACCAGAAAGAGAGAGGAGAAAAATCAGCGAGCACGATAACGGACTATAATCTTACAGAGAAATAATTATTCGCGGTATATCCGATTCTAGTGGTTCGCCTTCGACCGGGCTCGAATTGAAATCGTTGCACGTTTCACTCTTGCTTCACTAATTCTTCTTTTTTACCATCTGCCTCAATTGGGAATCTACGATTAACGTAAATTGTAATTAGAGGAATTAGAAAAATGATTTCCTCTAACGAATTCCTTTCTCTCGATTCTTCGAACGCTTCCGTTACTTTTAGAGCGAATCGAGTAAATTATTAACTAACCGAAGGTTGTGGACTAAAAATATATTAAGCAGGCTGGAAAGAGAATTTGGAAAGAGGAAAGCAACGTGGAGATCGCGTATCTCGATACGTCCAAATTTAGGAGGCCGAGGTTCTCTTCTGCCTGTTGGGCAGCCTGTTCGTTTTCCGGCGTTAGAATGCCGCCTACGTGATTTAAGGCTCGTTAACTCGGGACGAGCGTTAAATAAATCGTGACTGGTATGTATTTCTGTCTATAATACCGTGGCGAACGATCGCGGGCTTGAAAATCGAGTGGTTCGCTCGAGAGCGGATGCACCGAGGATGCACCGATTTGCAGGTGCAGTAGATACGGAGTTGCAGGGATTCTTCGCTCTTACCCAAATACTTATCATCAAATTATTACTAATTATTATTCCATTCGGTTTCAAGTTCCTTATTTTAAATTATAAATTTTATTAAGTTACTTTTATTCTTTTCTTTCCTCTTCAATTTATTTTTGCTTACGGAATCACCTCCTGCTTTATTGCACCACCCGACCTGTTTCATCCTTAATCTATTTAATTTCCTACGTTATTTCTGACTTAAAAGTCGGTAGTTCCATTGTTTGTGAATAGCACAAATAATAATGCACCTGATCGGAAAAATTCCAACCCCCTCGGTCCTTTGCAGATATCTACATGCACGAGGAATATTCTTATTGGTATTAATTACCGAGAGCGACGTTAATTAGGAACGAGTCGAACGGGAAACGATAGAATACGTTACAAAGAAGCAGCGTCTCCGAGGGAAAAACGTAGCTGGAGCGGAGGCCGGAGAACAGAGCGTATCTTGTACGCTGGCGTGGACGGACGAAACGACAGACAATTATGCCGAATGGAACAGGACGCCTCCAAGTAAGCGGAACTAAACGAGAACGGTACATCCTACGATCTGTTGGCAAAAAAATCACCAGGCGTTCTCACAACGAACGATAACATTAAGAATAGGATGTGCCCGAAGATATTTCATTGAACCCATTAATTAGTCTGTGCAATGAAACAACTTCATGTACAGGGTGCGTTATAATACTTCTGCCTGGAGATTTTGGGTAAAGTATGAAATATCCGAATTATTTTTATATTATATGTATAAATTTTTCTTAGACATTGTAAGGATTTTGTAAAATAATTATTTTATAATTTGGTAAAATAAGAAAAGATTTTAAAAGATTTTTGATTAAAAATTTTAATTTAGGGGGAAATTAAGATATAGATCGACATTGCTTAGACTGCTTTTCATATATTGCCGACACATATACACCGATTAAATTCCATTCTTTTATTTTAATGTAGAGATAAATAATCACGGTATCGGTGAAAGATCTTATCTCTGATATTTGTATCAAGATTTATTATATTTAAAAGTGTAGAACAAAGTTCACTTTGCGCAATAATACAGTAGTTTTAAAATAAAAATATATTTGACATTTTGCAAAAATTTAATTGACATTTAAATACAGATATTGTTTCTCTCGCCGAGTCGAATATGTACACACTGTATATTTATAAGACACTTCGCACGGTAGCGATAAATCAAAGCATCGAATTTAAACGGTATTATATTCGAAATGAAAACATGTGACTTACGATGTTTTACCTTCTAACTATGGAATCGTACAATTGTACATAATCGTAAACCTTTTCACGACGAAACTTGAGCGAGATGAAATAAAATCAGTCGGTTCGGTCTACCGTAGGACGATACTTACTAACCTTGAGGTTTAACGGAATGGAGATTAAGTGAAAGAGAATTTTCTGCGAGATATTAATCCTCTGACGGAATCATTCGATTAAATCGTTAACGATGAAGAATCTGGGGAGAGAAATGGATCTGAAAATTTGGTCGGATATATATGTGTAACAGTACCTTGTCGAGGCACTTGAGCTCCTCGATCGGGTAGACCGTTTTCTCGCAGCGGGCGCACGTCTTGCTCATCTTCTGCTTCTTCCTTCTTCTTCGTCGTCTTTCTTCTCTTTCCCACCGTCTCTCAGTCCAAGTTCCGCGTATGTATCTTGGCCTCTCTTCTTCACAAAACACTGCGACGAACGTAAAGAACACGTGTAACACTAACGACACATCCGCGCGGTCTTTTGTGTCGGTATGATCGCGGAAAATCGTGGACGCCTGGACACGTTTACGCCGTACAATTTATTTACGACTTTCCTCGAGAACAACAACAACCAGCCACGAACAGGGAAAAAATCCACGCCAGAGGAAAAGCTCGAACTGCACGGGTGCCACACAGCCGCACCAAACTGCACTGCCCTCTCGTTCTCGTCTAGCTACAAAAACTCCTTGACTGACAGTAATGGTGGGGTACCACGTTAGTCAAAGAGGCAACGAGATATCTGTGTTCCGTGAACTCTTTCGAATGTATTTGTTTAATAAAATGATTAAAACAATTTCATCTGGAACCTTGGAATATAAATAAAGGTATATTAAATGTTTCTTTGCTGAGATTTTCGTGCTGAATGATTCCATGGAAGCTGGCTCTAGTGTAGTGCACCGGTAATGTAGAAGATTCATCGGTAAATTAGGTTTATTTTATGGTAGCATCACCGAAGTGATGTTAGCGTGGAATATTAATGTTTCTTAACAATTTGTATCTTATAAAATTGCTCTAGTCGTAAATATTACATTTAATAAGATATTCGCAAATAAAAAAGCAGAAATCTGTTATCTGAAAAATAGATAGGAAAGCATCTTTTTACAAAGATATTAGGTACCCAAAAATTGCTCCTGATTTGTTTTATAAGATTTAATGGTCAGATATCTCAATAACAACTTGTTAACAAACAGCAACTGATAATAAATGTTGTTGCGTATCTGCCGGTAAGTTATGACGTCATAAACGACCGTTGATTATATCCACTGATTGAAAGTAAATGTCAGCGACATCTGTCACTTGTAGTACACCCTCGATCACTCTCGGTGACCCTTCAGGGAAAATGGCGATCAAAGCCAACGGTGGGAAAGGTATCCACACCATTGAGTATGACACTCGAGCTAACAGTCATTATGCCTAATTCATAGGAGGCACTTTGGTATTAATTTACGTAGTTTCTATCGTTATCGACAGCGAATGGCGTCGGGAGTGGGGGCTCCAAACGCCTTTGCACGTGGTCCGAGGAGAGGCAGACACCGGGTGCGACCCTCGGTGTCTGCCACATGATGAGCATCCGAGAATGGCACCTGTGTGCCAGGCGCGGAGGGCTCTACAGTGATACACATAAGGTCCCAGAGCCCTCCTTTAGCGCCAGTGTCGGTCGCCGTGGGGTTTTAGTCAGTAGGAATCTGACACTCCCCCGCCGTCTTCCCCCAAGGGACGGTGGGGGGTCTTATGCAAGATTTCCCCACGTAAAAAAAAAAAAAAAAAAAAAAAATATTTACAGCCACTGTAATTTGACTACAGGTAGCTCGCTGCAACCGCGAATGAGAACGCCAGAGCCGATTGAGCACCATTGTCAACCGTAGAGCAAAGTGAAACCTCCTCAGTCTTATAGCGACCACCGAAGGGTGCGGATCTAATTGTGAAACATACATACGTATATATACCCTTATTTTATTTTCTGCGTTCATTACATTTGCTGTATTTATCTTCTTAGTTTGTTGAATAAACTCATTAGGAGCATGAACCCGTTGATTCTATTACATCTGTGTGCCTCCCCTATTATTTTATCCTTTTATTTATTATTTTATTCATCTTTTCAGTCCTTGCGGGAACCACCCTCCCAAGCCATTTATTATTTTATCCCTCTACATGGGCCTCGGCTCATCCTTCTCAGTTATTTATTATTTCCTGGTCTTTGAGGTCCTTAGGAGGCCCAACCCTTTATCGCTGCATCCCTTACATGTCTGCAGCCCTTACACCCCTGTATCCCTTATATCTCTGCATCCCCTGTATTCCTGCATCTCGTATATACTAGCATTCCTTATACCCCGGTGTCCTTTACATTTTTTCATCGCTTACATCTTAGCACCCTTTATATCTCTGTATCCCTTACATCACTGCATCTCTTACATCCTTGCATCCCTTACATCCCTGCATCCTTTACATCTCTGTATTCCTTACATCCCGACCTTCTTCCATAAAAAAATCCCTGATTTCTTTACATGCCTGCATCCCTTACATGCCTGTATCCCTTATACCTCTCTATCCCTTATATCTCTGCATACCCTATATTCCTACATTCTTTTCATCCCTACATTCTTTTCATCCCTACATTCTTTTCATCCATACATTCTTTCCATCCCTACATTCTTTTCATCCCTACATTCTTTTCATCCCTACATTCTTTTCATCCATACATTCTTTCCATCCCTACATTCTTTCCATCCCTACATTCTTTTCATCCCTACATTCTTTTCATCCCTACATTCTTTCCATCCCTACATTCTTTTCATCCCTACATTCTTTTCATCCCTACATTCTTTTCATCTCTTCATCTCTTCATCCCTTACATCCCTGCATTCCTTTTCATCCCCACATCCGCTACATCTCTACATCCCTTATATCACTACATCCCTTACATCTTTGTAGCCCTTACATCATTGCATCCCTTACATATTTAAGTATAAATTTAGTTCCCTTTTTCGCCATCAGAGGGCGCTGTGTCGACCTGAAAATTTTAGTTCACATTTTTGCCGCCAGAGGGCCAAAAATGGAGCAGGCTTTAGTTCCTTTTTTCGCCACCAGAGGGCGCGGATCGAACATCGAAATTTTAGTTCACATTTTTGCCGCTAGGGGGCGCTATTGTTTCGAGATTTTCGCGAAATTCTCAAAAAATAGCGCCCCCTAGCGGCAAAAATGCGAACTAAAATTTCGATGTTCGATCAGCGCCCTCTGGTGGCGAAAAAAGGAACTAAAGCTAGCTCCATTTTTGGCCCCCTGGCGGCAAAAATGTGAACTAAAATTTCGATGTTCGATCAGCGCCCTCTGGTGGCGAAAAAAGGAACTAAAGCTTGCTCAATTTTTGGCCCTCTGGTGACCAAAATGTGAACTAAAATTTTCAGGTCGATACAGCGCCCTCTGGCGGCGAAAATGGGAACTAAATTTATACGTAGATATGTAAGGGATGGAGTGATATAAGGGCTACAAAGATGTAAGGGATGTAGAGACGTAGGGGATGTAGGGATGTAAGGGGTGAAAAGATGTAGTGGGTGGGATGCAGAAATGAAAGGGATGAAGAGATGAAAAGAATGTATGGAGGAAAAGAATGTAGGGATGAAAAGAATATAGGGATGAAAAGAATCTAGGGATGAAAAGAATATAGGGATGAAAAGATTGCAGGGATGTAAGGGATGAGGTGATGTAAGGGCTGCAGAGATATAAGGGATGTAGAGATATAGGGGATGTAGAGATGTAAGGGCTACAGAGATGTAAGGGATGTTGAGAACTAGGGGATGTAGAGATGTAAGGGATGTTGAGAAGTAGGGGATGCTGGGATGTAAGGGATGAAGTGAAGTAAGGGCTTCAGAGATGTAAGGGATGTTGAGATGTAGGGGATGCTGGGATGTAAGGGGTGAAAAGATGTAGTGGATGCGGAGATGAAAGGGATGAAGAAATGAGAAGAATGTAGGGATGAAAAGAATTTAGGGATGAAAAGATTGCAGGGATGTAAGGGATGCAGAGATATAAGGGATGTAGAGATGTAGGGGATGTAGAGATATAAGGGCTACAGAGATGTAAGGGATGTTGATAACTAGGGGATGTAGAGATGTAAGGAATGCAGGGATGTAAAGGAAGCATAGTTGTAAGGGTTGGCGAGATGTAAGGGATGAAGAGATCAAAAAAATTTTGGGATGAAAAGAATGCAGGGATACAAAGAATTCAGGGACGTAAATTGGGGCGGTAGATTTTGTCTACATATCAACATGTCATCCTGGGGTGTCAGGGACCCCGAAGCACTGGTGGCGATATGTGTGTATCGATCTGAATCCGTCTGGGGTATCTGGGACCCCTAAATTCCAATGACACTGATTGCATACCCACATCATGGTAGTCGGGGTTTCTGGGACCCCCAAGCACTAGTGGCGATATATGTGTATCGATCTGTCTCCATTCGGGGTATCTAGGACCCCTAAATTCCAATGACACTGATTGCATACCCAGATCATGGTAGTCAGTGTTTCTGGGACCCCCAAGCACTAGTGGCGATATATGTGTATCGATCTATCTCCATCCGGGGTATCTGGGACCCCGAAATACCAACGACACTAATTGCATACCCACATCATGGTAGCCGGGGTATCTGGGACCCCGAAGCACTAGTTACGTTTTTGCATACCGATATTATGGCACTCGGGGTTCCTGAGACCCCGAAGTACCATTGACACTGTTTGCATACCGACATCATTGCATCTGGGGTGTCAGGGACCCCGTAACGGTGATGACACTCTTTGCACGGCATTTGGGGTGTCTGAGACCCCAAAGCAACTAGCGAAATATAAGAACGAAAAACGAACAAATCGTGAAACTTTCTTGTTCGGAATAGTGATGGGTTTGACCGGATCTAGCGAAATATAAGAACGAAAAACGAACAAATCGCGAAACTTTCTTGTTCGGAATAGTGATGGGTTTGACCGAATCTAGCGAAATATAAGAACGAAAAACGAACAAATGGTGAAACTCTCTTGTTCGATATAGTGATGGGTTTGATCGAATCTAACGAAATATAAGAACTAGAAACGAACAAATCGTGAAATAGTAATTGCAAGATAGTGATGGATATAATCTGTAATAGTGAAAGCTTAGACCTAGAAAGAGTGTAAAACATTGAAAGAAGGAAATATAAGAATATACCTAAACTCATTTCTACTTAGCTGTGACCTGGGTGTACTTGAAAATCTAGAAGATAATATAGAAAAATACTTACCTGAGTTTGCATACCGACATTATCGCATCCGGGGTGTCAGGGACCCCAGTATATCTGTGGCGCTCTCTGTATATCGACCTGATATCATCTTGGGGTGTCAGGGACCCCGGTGACTCTCTTTGTGCACCGACTTATAATCATCTTGGGGTGTTAGGGACCCCGAAGCACGTTCGATACTCGGCATACCGACATTGAAAAGTGACACGGACGGACGCTTTGTGCTTTATATGTATATATATAAGATGTAAAGAAACTGAAATATTATTTTTATTTTTCTAATACCTAGTGAATCTTGATTTAATAGACTTTAATGTAAATAATGTAAGAAAATTAATATATAAATTATTGCACGTTTTATGGATAGAACAATGGCAATAACACTTTAAGTAAACTGGTTTATATAAATACTATTTTTATATTAAAAGAAATAGTTGTAAATGCTGTACCTGGTTATTATCATAATTGAAAGTATGTATTATGTATAAAAGTTATTAACTTGATCGAGGTTTATAATAAAATGTTTTAAAAGCTTTAGTATTCTTTTATTTTTCTACAAAAAAATGTACTTTACATTATTATATTATTAAATTAATATTTTATTAAATTACACTTTGGTTACAATAGTTCACATACACACATCTTAGAAAATAATAAGTGATAGCACATTCACTGTCAGTAAAAAAATATATTATAATGATATATAAACCACCTAATTTCAATAATTCTTAAAATTCTATGGTATCCTTATTCATATGGTAAACTATTAATATAAAGAAATCGTTCTAAGTTTGCCCTAGTTTTGAATAATTTATAATAAATAGGGTCAGAGGGAGTCAAAATTGTGTCGTATCTGTTGTCGGTGCGAGATGCGGTTAAAGTGGGACTGGTAAAACAGGCACGATTATACCAGCTGTGTTCTCTGCATGCAGATCTAACATCTGGGAGTGTTTGGGATCCCAAAATTCATAACTTCTGAAGAACAAAGGCATGTTCAGTACTTTCATATCTGTAGTCACTGTTTTTGCTTAATTAGTACTGTCGATTGCCACCAAATCGCGCTTGTGTGCTACTTTCACAGCGCGGGTTGATTTAGAATTAAAAAACATAGAAATAAGACTTCGAATATGCAGAGCTTATTAAATAATTATAATCATGCTATCCATTAACAAGGAAAGAATTAAAAATTATAACCTTCATTTTTATTCTTGTTGAATACATTATTACAGTATTCTATTTGTTATTTAAAATTATTATCTTCCATACCAGATTACACACATAAATATAGTGTATATCTATGCAACGTCTGTTTTAATAAAATCGTAGTAAATTAAATTATATGCCCTTTCAGAAGTTATAAAAGATTGTGATGTACAAAAGTATAGTTCCTATATGTTAGAAACGGTTACCCTTTATTACGCCTTAATCTAAATTAATTGTTCCGCTGATAGCAAACTCTTCAAGACGGAAGAATTAATGCTCGTAAAGAATCTTCGGGATGGACTTCCAATACTGCTTTAGTTCCAGAATTAAACGGTATCGCTATACCACCATCGACAACTAACCCTGCATCATAGCACTGTGACCTTACTACTAATTTGTTACACAACCCACGTGGTTGCATGGACTTTGGTATGGGCCAAACATCGGTTACTATCATATCCCTTATAGCGTAACATAATTTTAATTCCTCTGAAATATACACAAAAATTTATACTCTCCATTCGTACCTCTACTGTAAAACAATATATACGTACCAGCATTAACATGCAAACTGCTGTTAAAAGTGGAACAAATTTTGTCAATTTCCTCACTGCTAAATTGTCTTTTCTCATCTACAAGATTCAATATCTCTTGTACTACTAGCGAATTAACGCTATTTATGGATTTATACCAGGATGTCGATCCTGTTCCTGTGCTGACACACAACCCAGAACTTTTCACCAAATGAAACTCTGGTTCATTGTCTGGCTTTATAAACAAGGAACTTGTTCTAGCCGATAGGGTCTCGGCTATAAAAACCTGATCATATATAAAATGTTGAACTACATAATGATACATAAAGTTGCTTAAATAAAGGGGAACTTACTTCGTTTAGCGCTAACCATGGTAAACGCCTTTCTTTTGGTAAATTATTTGGTGCTCCTTTCTGTAAGTTTTCTGTATAAAATCTGCAAGTATTAAAAAATATTTTGCAATATACACCCATGTAACATGTAAGAATAAAGATCATAAGAATTGCATTTAATTGTATTACTTTTCGCAACCTGTAACACGACCTTTTTCATGCGCGTGAAATGGAGGATCCCAGATATTATCACCCATAATTGTTGTTCTAATCCTTCGTCTCATTAATACATTATAATGACCAGCTCTTAACATTTCAAAAATTTCCGGTATCCTTTTGGTATATTTGGGCGGTAACATTAGAAAACCCTCGGATCTCTCCGGGAATGAATTAATGCCTATTATAGGTTTTTTATTATCAAATATTAAATTTGATGCTAATAAAAATGTGCCATCGCCGCCGATCGGAAGAATTAAATCGGCCCAAACGAAATTCTCCGGATTAAGATTTTCCCTGCAATAGAAATACATTCATTTAATAAAATTTAATGATTAATTAAATGAATATATAATACAATGAAAGTATACCTGTTTACTACTCTATACTCTATATTCATTTTCTTCAAATGTTCAATTACTTCATTTTTCACAGCATTAGTTGCAATATGACTAGCCAACATTAATTCATAATCAGATCCTCTTTCCTCTAATTTTACTTTCAACTCTTCCTCGTTTAAATCTGGTTCTCGTAATTTTTCAAAATAGTATCGCGACAATTTTTTCACGATAAGCACTCGCTTCGGTACAAAGCTCGCCTCGTTTCGCAAGAATACTCGTAGATTATTGGAAGCATTGTATTTGTGTGGTTGCAAACGTTGTAAAATTCCTGAAAAATATATGAAAATATTAATAAAATAATACGAGGTATAAATTTTTTAAAAGTCATCGAATAATAAATAATAAATCTATATATAATATTACATATATTAATAATTAAGGACATTGGGAATAATATATATTTCAATGTTTAAATCTTTTATGTATACTTTCAATTAAAATATATACAGTCTTAATACATATCGAGTAATGATGTCATTTAATAGTAGTGTTTGCATAGTCATTTCGTAGAATGACGTAAACTATAATCGAACGATACACTGTGCTTCAACGCTCCGATAACCAATAATTAAATGACACTGATCGAGTAATACTTCGGGGTTAAAATATCTAGCGAAGTTATTTCTACAACTTGTCTTTTGTTTTGTGAGTTTTCATTGGAGCTCGTTGACGTTGTACGCCGTTGCCAATGGAATCAAAGAGTACTTCAAAAGTTTACTTACTGCCAGATCTTCGAACGTGGCTAAGAGTCGTCATCGCATGCTGTTTTATAAGTTAACGTACGATATACGTGCGAACAATAAATGCAAAAGTAGGAACATCAAGTACGTCTAAGCGTTTTTAACCTCTCTACCGGTACGAATAATAGGTATATCTAAAGTCATGCGACATGTACGCACAAATACGTGTTCACAGTCCACCGTGGATAGAGATAAAATAATACTCCCGAGTGAGAAAGTAGGAATACCAATATGGCCGTCTTTGGCGGTAAATTTGAAATGCGTGTAAGTTTTGCTCTCGCTAGTGAAATGATAATCAGAAACATTACATATAAAGAAATATTACGAAATCGATAAAATTCTAATATGAAATAAAAAAAAGAGAAAAGATATCGTTAAATTCGAGCGATTCAAATAAACAGAGAAAAAATAATAATTTCACTGTACAGATACACGCTTCGCTTACACTTTATTAATTCATTTGCAATACATTAATTAAGTCTGTTTAAATAGCATCGAGGCATACCTAACGCATGCCTTCGTTTATACTATAGACAATCATCTAACTTAAACACACGCTCACGCTCACTTTTTATCTTTCTTTCGTTAATCTTTCTCTCGCTCTCATTCTCACTATCTCTCACTCTTTCATCTCTCTTTCTCATTTGCGCATTTTTTTCCATTTCTCTTTAATAATCTGTATTTCCATTATCGATATCATTTATCGTTATTGTTATTACCATTGTCATTATCATTATACCATATAATATATCATAAGATCGACGTTAAAAACTAAAATTCGTATAAAAAGCGTCGTTATTCATACTAACAATGTAACTTGTAACTGTACTATTTAAATAATAATTGAATCTTAAAAAATTATTTGTTCTTGTTCTTGTTCTTGTTGGTGGTGGTGTGTCTGAATGTATGAGATGTCTAACGCATCGATTATAATATTATACGAGGGTGCAAGGCGGTGCAGAAATTTTTACGTACACGTATAATGTTTCTCACATAGTACGCTCGTGTCGACGTGTATCCAAAGAACGTTCAGTAAGATCGTGAAATGCCCCGACATTGCGCTTCGTATCAAAACCATAATTAACACATATACATATATATATCCCGTTATCTATCATTATGAAAACTAACGATTGTCACTGAGCGAATAGAGGAAGTAAGCAAAAGTGTACTTTTTCGCAGAAAATATAAATAAAAAGGAAAATGTATCTCGTATGTATGTACAGTTACTAATATAATAAAATGAACCACTATAGTTTCGTGTATTTTTAAATGAGAGAAGATGAATTCTAATGGAAAATACACGCGCTTTTACTCGTTACGATCTTACCGATCCGATTCGTTCTTGGATCGACGCCAGGACGACGGTACATCAGTTTCGTGTCGGCAAGCCGCACCCCGCACAATTCTCTCAAATTCATCTTTTACATCGTAATCGTTTTCACGCGGCATTTTTATAATCTAGCTAATACTTTTACATACTACGAATGTTTAGCACATATCACTACGGCCGAACCATTGAAATCTCTCCCGTTCAACTTTCTCTCTCCCTCACATTCTCTCCCAATATCCACTTGAATTCTTTCGTTATTACATAGCTAAACGCTATTACGAGCAATAATGTACATCAATTACATAAAAAACAAGATATTTCGTTAACGTTTTTTATCTGTGTTTTCAAATCGTTTCATTTTCCTTAATCGTCGAGCGATGGTCACACTTACGAAGGTACCGCGGCTTATATTAATCCAAAGAATCACTACCGACACCACCATCCTAATTATCAATTACCATCATCCATACGTGACAGAATGGTTTCTAACAACAGCCCTGACGCACGATATACATAGAATATTTCGTTCGTTTAAAAAGTTATGCCTTACAGTCGAATATCATCGTCACCCCATTGGGTGAACTTGCGTCAGATTATTACACAATTGCTTATAATCCTATATCGAAATCGAACATCGCATTAAAAAACGTCGCGTGTGCTATTTCGAACAATCAAACAAACGAGATCCTATCGCTTGGAACTCGGACGCGGATAAAATTCGACGAAATTCTTTACATACCACCTACGCATCCGTCAGGGATTAAAACTCCTTTGTTTCTTTAATATCGAGAAACGAAAAATACGAAATTTTCATTGGCCTGTCCACTTTGCCTCGATTATTCGTGAGTTCGTCGTTAAAAGCGAATCTGCCATTCAACGTACACGAAGAGCACGCAATAAAATTGAATTTCATAGATATTGCTTTGAAAAACATGATATATTCGAATTCCAATGTAACGTTGATGATACAGCGTTTAATTAAACACGCTAATAACTAGAATTTCATTGCATGAACGAGAGAAAGTGTGTAGGAAATTGTTCACACAAAATTATTAAATAATTAAAAGATTTAGGAATACATATATATATGTACATATACATATTCAAATTTTTAACAGATATCTGTTTAATAATTTTGTTAATTGCAAATATCGTTCGCTAGGAAATTCACTTTCGACATAGAATAATAATTAATCTTAAACTTATAAACACATATTCCCCTCGTTTCTAATTACAGAACATTCCAAGCCTACATGCATTTAGATTCTTTTTTTTACTCAAGATTCACGTTGAGTTATCGATCATTTCTACCTAGCTGGGATCATTCTTTTCTGCTCGATCATGGTTCGAACATAAATAAATAAAGTAGTCAAGCGAATAAACGAAAAAGAAAAGAAGAGAAACGAAGAGTAATGAATCCGTGGAATGGCATCAACTCCGTCCTTAATTGGAAGATTGACTTCGTATGTCATTCTGTTTTATCTTACTCTATAGCAAATGGTTACCCCTTATTATCGTGCTGACGTTTTTATTTTTCTTCTTTAATAACGGGCAAAGATGTTCGCGGTGTGTGAATGGTTTGAATGTTCGCGTTGTGACGTGACTATCTATATAGTATACATGTACACTATATTCATATTTATACATTTATATTTATATTTATATATTTATATATGTATACCTCTGCATTTTGTTTCCTTCACATTCATTATTTTTGCAAAATATTTCTTTTGCCGACGTGTCGGCACTAAGCCTGTATGATACAATCGCAAATTACATCTCGTGTTCGCTTAGGCAAAACTTTACTTGGTAAGTACAGTGACCATCTGCATTTTTCATTTATCATCGTAATTAATTAACACGAAGGTGAGGGTGGTGGATGAGGTCGAAGACTTATGAACGAATAAGATGCGAAACAACGGTCGAAACACAATTAATTAAATCGCGTCGATTTCTTAAAGAAGCTCCCCGAATCACAAACGTTTAATCTCTACCACGTTAAAATCTGTGTGTGTGTGTGTGTTTACGGCATCTTCCGGTGCCTCCTTTACCCTACGTACACGATTATCCTTAACAAGATTAAACTCCGACTTCCGACTATTAGAATTATCGTTGAACGTAAAGTTCGTCGGTAAAAATTGGAAAGAAGAAGTACGAAGCCGTTGAAAATATTCATCGTACCGTTCTCGAGTATTATTAGCGTGTCTATCTGTGTGTAAAGATTTACCGTGTGTATATTTGTTTAAAGAATTGCGAGGAGTTTCCGCGCGAGCGTCGATTACGGCGAGAAACGAAAAATAAAGATATTACAGGAAGTGGAGGCGAACGAAGAGAAAAAGAAACGCTCGTAACGACGCGCACGAAGGATGTTACCCGCATTATTACGTAGTTCTATCTCATTTTATTTCCTTTTCATTTATTATTAATTACTATTAGATTTCGAAGTCGTCCGGTTAGCCGCTAGAACGAGGCCAACAAACGTGCACGAGAGAGATACGGGGGTTGTCTCGATCTTGTTTCATTTCGAGTCTCTTCAACGGAATTCTCTCAGTGTTTTATCCAAGAGCCACTATTCTCCTAGTAATAGAAGTGGGCAAAACTGTTGCATGTGTTACGAGAACGAACCGAACCTCAGCTATGCGTTTGCGGATGTGGAGGTGGTGCGCCGGTAATCTCGGTCCAACGCATTTCGAAGAAACTGCGCATCCCGTGTCCAGCCTTCCCCACAGGACTGTCGTCCTCGTTGAATACCTCGCAGTTGATGAACATCTGTCTGACATCGGCGCAAAACTCATCGCGAGACTTGTACCTGTGTATCGAGAAGCACTTCTTTGGAACATGTTCATAATTCCAATTTTATTTTATTTTTTTTTTTTTATTTTTATATTTTGGCATTTCAGATTTGAAGCTTTGACGATCAAGTTAGAGGCGTTCTAGATATCATAGATGATTTTTTATACTTGTTTTTTTAGGGAAAGAGGCATTTCTAAATAGAATCGAATGTACGTTCAATTAATCTAGCTGTCGACGGTGTACGCGTGTAACTTACACGGAGTCCTGCAATTTCTTCTTGATCGTACTGAGATCCATGGGTGTTTTAATAATTTTCTTGTAGGTAGGAAACTGTTTGGTGTTCACCGGCAAAAGGAACGGCCAGGCCTCGTCCTGTTGCTCCAACTGTTCGAGTAGCACCTTACAAGGAGCCAGCTCTCGTTGTTGTTTCTTCGTCAGTGTCCTATTGTTGCCCTCCTTCCTCGGCGAGGCTGTAGGTGTTGCCGGTTCCGATGAACTGACGTCCTCTACGTGCGTGTTCGATGCCGTTGACGGCGTTGGACTGCGACGCAAAACAACAGAAATTATTTGCACCATTTTAGCTTTCGCTTTTTCGCAGGAGGTATTGTCCGTCATTTTTATAAAGCTTCTGGACGATAAAGACTCGAGAGCGTGATTTATTTATTTATTTTTTTTTTTTTTTTTTCTCTACTTTCTCTGCTCGAGACGAAGTTATTATACCACGCACATTTATTACACACACACACGCGTTGTTTCTCGATCGAACATTTATCATATTTTTCATCATTCTGAATCTCTCTGTCTCTCCTGTCTATTTTAGTTTTTATTTTAGTCTCGCTGTTTTATATATTCTCTCTCGCCGGTTTGCTCGGCCTTTTGTTCAAGTTTCGAGCAATCTAAATTACCCGTTCCCCATTAGTTTTAGTCGATGATCGTAACACGCTGTACAAAGTAGTACAGGGTGTCCCCCGACCAGGAGGGGACCCGACAACAATATCATTCGCAGGTGGTAGAAAATAATCGCTCGAAGATGAACCTAACGACGATTGCTTTTTTTTGTTCTTTATATCATGTAGAAGCTTTATTTATTTATATACCTATCGTGGAACACCCTGTATGATGCGAATACTTCCTTACAACAATGATCGACGAGTGTATTTTGACACGGGCCGAGGATGTAAGTCGGTATGATAATAATAATCGCATTTAGAAGCAGTGTACTTTGTCTATGTTCATTCGTATTTTTTTGTTTTTTTTTTGGGGGGGTTTTTTTTTTTAAAGTAGTTTTATGTTTTCTTATTCGATCGGAAATGGATTATTTTTTTTTTTACACGTTCTCGTTGAATGTTATTGAGTCATTTTGTTTCGTAGATTATTTGCTTTATCTACTGTTACTTCGTTACGATACGTTGTTTTAAGTCAGCGAGTTGACAATGTTTGTTTGGTTTTTTGTTTTTGTTAACGTAATCACCTAGCTGGTGGATGATCAGAACTTTCACTTTCTCTGGTGCCTCCCCCTTTGGTATGACTCCTTCGACTACTATTTCTCTTCTTTGGTTGTTTACTGTGGCAATTAGAACAATACCATTTTCCCCTTGGCATCTGGAAGTATAGTAAAGTTATTTGAATATATTATGCAACTGAGAATATTTGAGAGGAAGGGTTGAAACTTCAAGAGATGTATATTATATTACAACTTTTAATTTACATATGTTAATAGAAAAGATATTTTCATTGACATATTAAATGAATAATAGAATAAGCTACTCACTTTTGGCATAACAGGATTATGGCAGTCGGTATGATAAGCCCGTGGACAGAGTTCACATAGCACTAAATTTTTGCCAACCCTCTTTCCGCATACCAAACAATTTCGTTCCCCTGTTGCTTTATTCATGCACTCGTGACAATACCTGAAACAGGTTTCGCAATTGTTTAATTAAAATAGAATAGTATTCTTCGGAATTGTCCGGTTTGTTTCATAATACAAATAGCTTACCAGTCACCATCAGGAATGTTTTCCATTTTTGGACGGAAACAGTAAGTATGATAGCCGCGGTCACAACCATCACACAGTAGCAGCTTGTCTTCGTTATCTCCACTGTGACAGAACTGACAATTCTGTAACAGAGAAAGAAAAACTTCCCGTTTTAAAATTCAGTCAATGTTTGAAGCAAATTAATCCTAACACTTTGACGACCTCACTTCTCTGTAATTAATGTTATAAAGATTATAGCGACCGTCAAAGTGTTAACGATCTAGCGTTGTCACACAAGCGTTAAAAATAAAAATGAACCATCGATGCAATAAATATTAATATGCAAAGTATATTAATAATAGAGGATAAAAGCTTAAGGATCAAGGGTATATATTTAATAAACGGAATGGAATTTATATTTAATCGTGCATACTTAGTTCTCGTGTTATCGCTCAAAGTATAATTAAAAATGAAATTGAATGGGGTAGCATTAAAATGATAATCACCCTACAAAAAAGGAAAATACAAAGCGTTGAAAAAAAAAAAAGATTAGTAGACGATAAGCGGCATATTCTGTTGCATGCTACCGTTACGTTAAACTCTAACCACCATTTAAATTCCATTAATGTTGTTAGTCAATTAATTTGTTAAAACGTTTATCGATTGCCGCATTATTCGCACATCATTCCCTTTATTATGACGTTCCATTGGAATATACCATCACGGAAGGTGCCACGCGAAGAGCATTTCGTTTAACTTTAGACAATTTTTGAAGGAATGTTTTGCCAGTCATCATCATCGAAAGCGATATGCTCTCTGTGGTTCACTATATACAGGATATTCGTTCTAACAATTCGTACGATATTCAATCATCCGTAATGATGTAATTAAAAGAGAAAATAATACTCATTTATTACATTATTGTAAACGACTGAAAAATCCTGTATAATGTTAAAACAGACACTCTGTATAGGAAGGATAGAAGAAAAAGAGATTTCAGAGTGTGAGGTAGAGGAGAAGTTTCGGTTAGTAAAGTTAGTGCGAATACCCACAGAGGCCTGAGAAGTAGTCAATAGCTGATTGTACTGAGTGGTAGCTTTGAGTGAGACGCAGCGGTTTCGTAGCTTGACGCAGACCGAGTTTCTAGCTGGTGTTAGACTCACAGCCTTCATGATGCTCTTGTCCCAGGCGATGCTGGCCTCCAGCATGTACAGTGCCATGGCGAGCTGAGCCGACGTGTGTGCTCGAGCTGTTGCCTCTCTCCAGTTGTTCAGACCTCTCGGAGTTGTTTCCTCCTGCGGCACCGGCGCCTGATTGCTCTGATCCGAATTACTCGAGTTTGCGTTAGCCGCCGCTGCCTGTTCAGCTTTCAGAGCTGCTAAATTTGGATCGCCCGTACTGTAAATTCAATAAAAATGAAAAATCTCATTAATCTTTGAATATTCCTCATTGTATCCAATCTCCTATAATATGCCATGGTTTATAATCTTACCAAACGCCTAACGGTGGTTTCAAGTATCTCCTCTCTATCGCGGCCTCCAAAGACAGTAACCTTTGTCGCGCTTGCTCGACGGCGCTCACTTTCTCCATTTCGTTCAATTTCTCAATCTCCTCGGCCTCCTCGGTGCCAGCCCGCGGAGGAAGTTTCCAGCCTTTGACCTGCATGCTGGCGTTCGCGACTTTGTCCTCGAGAGCCTCGACCTGCTCCAAAAGTTGCGCGTCCACCCGTAACGCGACCTGCTCGCTCCATGTTACCGGGTTGTCCGGTTGCGGGATCGGTGTATCAGAATCGTCGGGTGTGGATTTCAGTTCGGTGGCGGATACGTTGCCAGGGTCCACGTTGATTCTACCTGTCACGGCTAGGAAGGATTCCATGGTCGCCCATGTTGTACGTTTCAGTTCCTTCTCGCGGACACCGCGAGAATGAAGGTGCTCCAACAGTTCTTGAAACGTGTCGACGTCTGTTATTCTCCACCAACCGTATCGTAAATCTGCTCGGATTATAAGTGACACGAGTTAATGATCGATCCATCTGGTTTGGTAATCAAGTTTTGGAGCTGTTAACTTACCCTTTGGTACTGGTTTAGCTTCTCCTGGAGGAGGTAGACCGTGTACTTTGAGATACTCGAGCTGAGCTGCTTCGTCCTGGGTCAAAATCAAAGGTGCTGGACTATCGCACCTGTCGTAATTTGGACTAGCTGGCGGAGGGAACACTGGTATTCTCAGCTCGGTGGGTTCAGCTATTCCAAATATCTGCTTGGTACTCGGTCCTGGAGTGTCGCAAGTTTCTCGAGGTAAAATTGAAAACCAATTGAATTCGTTGCTGCAATCTATAATTGATCGAAAAAGAAATAAATAGAAAATTACATAAATGACAAGTTAGTAAAATAAATTCCAAAATACTTACTGGAAATAAATGTGCCGTTCAATTCCTTGCCATTATGAAGATTGTTAACATGATTGTATTTGTCGCCATTTGGAATCGTCTCGACGATTTTATCCTCCATCATCTTCACAGCTGGCTTCATTTCTTCGTCCATCTCTTCGTTCTCTTTCTTCGTATCCTCTTTCACATCCACGTCCATACTAACAACCTCTGTTTCTTGTTTAATTTCTTCGGAAGTGACGTTTGTCTTCGCATCAGCCATCGAACCATCCACATCGACCTTCTTCTCTTCTTTCACGTTCGTCGAATTATCGGAACCACAATTTTGCACAGGTTCTTTCTTGCAATTAACGTCGTCCATTTCGGATTTCGTTTTATCCAACAACGGTTTCACGTCCTCTTCTTGTTCGCTCGAGTTGTATTTCTTTTCTTCCTTAACGTCATTCGGAGCCTCGTTCTCCCGATTCTCAGCATTCGACTTAGTGTCCTCCTGCTTCGTCTCTGATTTCGCCTCCTCCGTTGGCATGTTTTTGTACTTTTCGTCCAGTTCGGCTTGCAGGTCCAGGATCTCCGGTTCAGCACTCTCCATGGCCTCGACGAAGATACCACCAGCGCAGGCCAGCTCCCAGTACCTTCTCCAGTACCTGTCCTGGCCAAATATGTGCGCTCGAAGTTGCTTCGAAGAGCTGTTCAATTTCTGTAGCTGTTCTTCCGATTGCTTCAACAGTTTGTCCAACTTTTTCCCAAGTTCCTCGCCGGATAGATTCTTGTCCTCCTCCTGTACAATCAATTTTTTCAATTAACGTAATAACCTTCGCGCAACAGACGTGGGGTCATTTTAACACTTTGAGCGCCACGTCACCGATATATGAATGAGATTTGAATTTCAACAGGAACCCATCACTCATATTATTAGAAATTCTTTGACTTAATTGGAAATATTTGAAATTATGGATAAAAATATAAATAATATACATAAGATTTGTGAAGACAAATGTAATACTTAATGGAATTTTCAATGGTTTTAGCGTGGCAGTCAAAGTGTTAATTAAATATGTATTATAAAATCCTACCTCTTCAGGCTGAGTTCCTTCGCTCTCGTTCTCAGACATGTCTTCAACCTCGTCCTCGTGATGAATCTCGTCGGGAGTAGGCGTCGTACCCACTGCCGTCGACGTCGTGTTACCTTCCTCGTCAACTTCCTTCTTCTCGATGGTAATCGTGTCTCCAGTCTTGTTCACGATCACGCCGACTGCTTCCATACGCACCTTTCGACTGTGCAATTGTCTGAGCCTACGCAAGATCATTTAAAAACATCAATCTCACGTCCAACATCTTCGATACATACAAAAGAATACTTACTTTCTGATCTTCGTGTCCAAGACGAATCTTTCTTTCCTGAGTTGCGCCACCGTTTCTAAGCTTCCTTCGATCTGCCTGATCACAGCCTTGTTCTGCAACAACTCGTTGCAGAGGAACGCGAGCATCTGCGCCTTGTGCGTTGGATTCAGTGCCAAAAACGGCTTGTCCCTCAACCTCTCGGACATCCTCCAGGTTTCGTTGTTGTGTAAGTGTTCGTAGAACTGAGCGTTCTTTCCTGAACAGGTCGAAGCGTAGTCACCGCCGTTCTGATGATGATCGGCGAACTTCTTGTCGCGTTCTCGTTCCAGACAGACACCGGTCAAAGCTTTCACCTCGCCGGTTGCGTTCGCGTACAAATAGATTCGTAGCACCTCGCTGATGTTTGCATGCGTTATGTCAGCCTGTCGTAGGCTTTGCCCTAATCCCGTCGTGTGTCTAGCGGGCTGAGGGATACCTGGGTCCTCGATAGCGCACACCAGCAAGTGGGTCATCACCGACAGCATCTCTTCTTCCGCTTCCTCGTCGTTGAGCAGAGCTAACTGGAGACTCTTTAGACTCGGTAGCGAGTCCATATCTAGGATATCAAAAGCGATTAGCGATTTAAAATTCCTGAGGAATTTATAGGGTAAAGGATAATAGAGACGAGGCTCACCAAAGCCTAAAGTTTCGCCGAAATTATGCAGAAACTCGAAAACCATAACGATGTCCGCGAAAGCTTGACCGGACAGTTTCAGTCCAGGTATTCGTTTTATTTCTGGCAGTGGTCTGTGATCTGTAAGCAGATAAAACACCGTGTCATGGAATGTTTTAAAAAATAGGAAAAGGATTTTCATAAAAATGTATACCTGTCAGTTCCATATCTTCCACAGGTTTCCTGATCTGTTCGATCAGTTCCATCTCCATTTTTCTTTGTTCCGCTCGTTTCTCTTTCGTCGCGATTCGTTCGGCCCTAGCTTCGAGACGCTTTTTCTCCCTTTCTTCCATCTTTCGACGGTTCTCCAGGGCACGTACCAACGCCATATGCTGTCTCCTTCTCTCCCTCTCCTAAACACAGTCGAAAAGTTTCAACGAGACGAAACGAAAGGATCGTGGACAATGTTCATGCAGCAGCATCGACAAAGAAATCTCGTAAATCCCGTTGAAAAGCAGAACTTTTGACACGCACGGGCTACGACAAACTCTACGACCGTTCCAGAAAAGGCTACAACCCGATACAAAAATAAAAAAAAAAAAAATAAAGAAAAGGATCGACTTCTTTTATTTGAAACACCGTGCAACTGTTATTTACGCAACCACACTGTGCAATGTTTCAGATTGTGCATCGACGTCCGCACAGTGACACCAGATTTTATTTATTTCTATATCTTAAGTTACTAATATTTCTGGGAGAGACACGGACATTTTCGAAGGCGTGAACGAAAAGCGTGGAATAAAGCGCCTACGCTGTATGCGAATGACTGAACAAGAGACATGGTTGTTGCATTGTCACCGAGGGACTGGTTAGTGAACGTGGATTCTTCGGAAAGCGAATATACACAGGGTGTTCGAAATTTTCTACAAATTTGGTAGATCGTTCCGAATCCGAATTCTCATTCAGAATGATTTACCAAACATGCTGGAAAATTTCATTTCTGAAACACTCTGTATATGTATCTGTTAATGTTGCTCGCGTGGATAAATGTGTCAACGAACGCAGCGATCGTCGATTGCTCGTACGAAATCCTGAAATAAACGTATCGATCTACGAGAAATCGACGAAGCTGACGGGTGCAGATTAGTTTCAACTATCGGTTCACAACCGAACTTTGATAACACAACTTTCAACTCGCTCAATTTCCATAGTTTCTCGTTGTCGATCGTTTCTAATCAATGATCGATGAACCCTCCAAGATGTATTCTGCTTCTCGGGATCGTCAGGAAATTGAATTTTGAAGATTCGATCGATCCTTCATCGATTTGATCGACAGAGAAGACGATGAAAGAGGCGAATCGAAAGTTTGGGAAATTCGATAAATTCCGTTTTATTTTGTTTTAGTGAGTCTTGGTTCATTTTTATTAAACTTAGATTTGGGTATGAGACATACCAGCTCGACGGTGTAGAGCATCTCGCGCTGCTTGGTGAGCTCCTGCATGTACATCTGCGGCACAAAACACATCCACAGTCCACCAGTGCTCAAACTACTTCTACACGATCAAAAACTAAACAGCATATCGCTCTCACTTTCTAGATTTCGCCTGTCATTGAATCGCGTCACAGAAACGGGACGCGAAAGGACGAACGAGAGAGAAATCATTTTTATATTTGAGAGCATCGAAGGAATCTTTTTCTAATTTTTTTTTTCTGTTCCTTTTGAAAATTGTAACAAAAATTCTGTTCGCAAGAATTCTACTCTGTATACGCTATTGCTACGTCAAGACCAAACTCACAACCGTGTCACAAAAATTAAATGGAATCAAAGTAAACCGAGAGATCTACGTTTATAAATTAAAACACAAAATGATTTGCAATTAGCAATGGATTGGTAATCGCGTTGAATTACTTGCAAGATTAGCAAGCGCCCATTAGCAAAGTCTATCGAAATGACATTAAAAATTTAAGAAAGTTTAATTATCAATTTTTAGGATCTCCTCATCGTCGTGTAGCTTTTTCGCACGAAAACTCACGATGAAACGCGAACGAGGATACAAAAATCGAGTAAAACTAAGGGTAACTAAATTTCCTGATATCAAATACAAAAGCTAAATGAATGTAAAATATAAATGAAGACAAGTGATCAGCTGAACGTTTGAATGATTCTCGCGGCTGATTAGTATAACGAGATGAACTGTAAGCGATGCGAAGATCAAAATGAAACGATGGCTAAATATCTACGAAAGATAACACACACACGCACACCGTTTCTAAGTTTCTACAGCCAATGACAGTCGGAAGAAAAGGAGGAAATAATCCGATGGATCGGAAACGATTGCACTCACCTGTTCCTTCAGCATGACTGCTTGTTGCCGCTTTAGTTCTCGTTCCTGAGAAATCACAGAAAATACTCGTGGTCAATTACCCAGATTCGTTATCGTTTTAAAAAACTACTAACGAAGTTGGGAATTCATGGGGTTCGCTATCGAACGAGAGGAATGTAACAAATGGACTTTTTATCGTAGATGGTTGCATGCCAAAAGTTTTGAGAAGTTGTTAAATAGTGTAACATAAGAATAAAAGGATTGATATTTCGGCTACGATTCTCAAAACTTTCAGACTAACCCAAGTACATCGTAATTATTTAATTCTTAAGAGTTAATTAATAACAGCAACCAACGTTAAAAGAATAATCTCATAATACCAAGTATAATACGATAAAAATTCAGAATATTAATGGACAATTCTTTGACGTAAAAAGAGAAGAAGCTTGAAAGCATTCTTTAGTAATTATACGATTAAATAAATTGCAATTTGTGTCGCATTGAAGAGACAACAGGTGTTGCTTAATTGCACCGAGAAAGATAAAAAATTAAATAACGAGGCGGAAGTTGTTTTATCGCAGAATAATATTTCGCCGAGAGACGACGAGATTTTTATGTTTCGACGAGGGCCAGAGGGGGGTGGCGGGTCGTATAATGTAAAACAGAGTTCATACAACAAATTGTACCAGACAGAGAGAAATAGAAAGCATACGGCGTGTAACAACGATTTTAGGATTTACCTGTTGCTTCCGTTGTTGCTCTTCCAGTCGTATCTTCTCCACCTCTTCCTGCCGTTTTTTCCGAGCCTGCGCACACGCCATATACACACGTCACTCTCATCCGTCATAATTGTTTTTTTGTTTTATTTTTCAAATTGATCATGAAAAGCTTACACAATGATCTTTCTGTTTTTTTTTTCCCCACTAAAAAATTGCTATCGTTCGACACAAGGGAGCCTCGATATTTTCGATTTTCGCGTTGCTGTTTATCTAAATCGCGCTCGTTGTTTTCGATTCCATGATAAATAAAGCTGTGATTATTTTCTGAACCTATTTAGATAAATGTTTATAGAAAAAGGATTTGAAAATCAGGAATTCCAGATCCTGATTTCTAGATTTAAAATTGGGGACTGGAGTCTCCGAGCTTAAATTGAAAAATGGGAAATTGTATTCTGAATAATTGATAATTATTTCATTCATTTCCATTCAGCATACAGCTTTATCGTCATGTAACGATTGAAGATCTACTAAATTAATTAATAAATAAAAGCTGAATAAAACAATATATACAAAAAATTCTATTATTTTCCCTGACCAGTTTCCCTTCTCGGCGCTCTGAAATTTTCTTCGTAAAGAAGATTCTACTTTTCTTTCGCGATTCGAAGGCTACCATGTATAAAGCGAACATGTATAAGCATTATTCTAGGATCTTTATATCTAATTTTAACATCTTCGGCAAAAGCGTGTTCGTGAAGGGAAAAAACGTGAGAAACGTAAAAATCATTCAAATTCAATTTAATATTTATCCGCGATTCGAAGCCTACACGGTGTCCACAGGAAACAGAAATGTAAGCATTACTCTACGATCTCAAAGTCTAATTCGGCTAAACGATTTTCAATATCTTCAGTGAAAACATGTTCGTTAAGGGAAAAACGCGCAAACCTAAGGCTTCTTTAATTAATTAAACGAACAATATAATAATCGAAACGTGTCTTCTTAGTTCGCGATTCGATCGACGAAACGACACAACAAAGAGAACGAGAAGAGCACGTGTACATTAAAACCAAAAAACAAGTGTTCTCAAGTTGCAGAAACTCATCCCCTCCACCATGTATCCCAAAACGAAGAAAGATAGGCATGCTATCGTAGAAAATCTCGTGAATTAAAATACGTGTATATTATACAGACATAACGTCGAGAGAAAGAAAGAGAGAGAGAAAAAAGGGAACAGATTAAAGCAGCCAAGCAATGTGTAGAACAAATCGACGACGCGTGAATTGTGAATCTTCGAAAAAAAAGGACAAAGGGGGAAACAGTAAAAATTGTTAAGAGAGAAAAATCGTGAAACTGCAACTGAAAAGCTTTCTCACCAACTACCAGAGTAAATATAGACAACACGAGAAATATACATATATAAAAAAGTGTACGATATATTTAATAGAAAAATATGTATACGTATAATATAGAATATTTATATAAATACGTGGAAACCAGCAGCATATTTCTTTCTTTATACACATGGTAAAAAAGACATCGTTTAGAATTCGAGAGTAACAATAGAGATAAAGAGAAAAAATGTTACGAAGCGATTCATAAAAATTATGTATAGAGTGGAAAAAAGAAGATGAAGAGAATATCATGCAGGAGCCAAGCAAATATACTCGCCTTATGTTATGCACATATTAACGTTGTGATTGTATGATCAGTGTGGAAAATATCAGATGGTTGAAGCTGATGATGATAATAATAATGAAACGGTGTCTTTGTTAATTAGAGTGTGCTGATCTGTACGAGTACAGAATCATGATTAACCCTCGCCCAGCTGATACTCGCTCACTTTTCACCCATGTGTTAAGTGATTCAAATTTGTTTAACACATTCCTTTCTTCTTTATACAATAGATACTATAAGGTAATATTTTATAAAAGACTAAATTCAAAGCGTGTATAATGAAAATTCATTGATGGGTCAAAAATGATTTAACGCCATTTCCTTTCGAGGGTTAAACCAGCTGCGATCATAGCGGTATATTAAAATTCATAACAATAATAATGATAATAACATGTGTTTCTCGGTCTCGAGAATAGAAACTAAATGAAAAATTGAAAAAGAAAACGGGAATAGGAAGAGAACAGAGCGAGAGGATAAAGAAAAGCGTTTGATTTGCTTGGGAAGCGGTACTTGATACTCGGGTAGAACGCGTGAAAATTTGAAAAAAAAAAAATGAAGAAATATCGCCATGCTGGAAATAATCATGTAGCTAGCTGTTATTTCTTTGTATATAGTGACAGGAGAAGCTAGGCACAGGATAGCATTGCAATAGTCGTTTTATCCTCGTAAATTCGCTAGGTATTCTACGATATATTTGTGTACGTGGAAAAGTTTGTTATTCGTGTGTTTTTCGTGGATTTCGAACAGAATATAGTCACGTCGTTGCTCGAATTTCCTGAAGAGCATGATATTCCGGACACAAAAACGATCCAGAAATTCGTATAAAAATTGATATAATTTCTTTCGTAGGAAAACTTAATTAAAAATCAATCACCAAGCATGAAAGCTACCGTTAGATAAATCTTTTCCGCGTTATGATTTTACAATTTTGGAGTTAAAAAAAAAAAATAAGGAACGAAAGAGAAAGGAAAAACGAACTGAATTCGACGTGTGCCAGCAGGGACTACACTGTTATCGCTCTGTGTGCCTGGATCCTACGTGTGTGTATCGTGTGGCGTGTCCTCGTCCATTCGATCGCTACGTGATGCACAAAGGTGTTAATGTGGCGAACTACTGGTGCTCGTGTATCGTTCGTACCTCGAGCTATCGTTAACAAGTATTTCCTTAAGAAGAAACGGAAGATGTTTCGCGGAAAAACATTTGTCGAAGAACCGAGATGAACCGATCGTTCCGAGATTAATGCAGAGCGACTACCAGGAAGAAACGAAAGACAGAAAAAAAAAAACCTGATCTGAGGTATTAATTCGAAACAGAACCAAGAGAAATCATTACAGTCTCGCGGATAGAGGAAAATAAATCAACTGAAAAGAGGATGTGTAACGAAACGTTAATAGAAATACCTATGTTTCTTGTACAATGGTCACGCACACCGAAAAATTAAAAAAAAAGAAGAAAAAAAAAGGAAGAAGAATGACGAGACGAATATTATCTTACCTCTGGGGTCGTCTCGTGAATCTTAATCTACCGATGCCGGGGTAAAGGTTGTAATTTATAGCGATGGATGAAACAGGAGTCGGGGGTAACACGGTTTTGATCACAGAAATAAGAAAAGATAACAATTAAATGATAAAGGGTTGAAGGGGAATATAGAAAACCAGGCAATCGTAGTCTTACCTCGACAGCTCCTTCGTCTCACGATCCCCGTGTCGGAATCGGATGAAAATATAGAAGTGAGGGGATATGGGAAGAGACAAGAGCATGTGGGGTACCAACGAATCGCAAGGACGACAGTAACGTTCGTTAGTGAACATGAAGTCGATGAAGAGGGGGAGGGTTTAATGACGATGTAGGATCGTAGAGTGCGCTTCTCGCGATGGGAGATCGATTGTGAAGGCAAAGGTGAGACAGTAGATTCCTTGGAAGCAATTAATCGACGGATCCAGCTAATGGACAAAGGATTCGCAGAAAGATCCATAAGGCTGGAAGGTGTCTTCGTTAAACGAAATTCTTCGAAACGAGCAAGTTTATTGTGTTGAACGGAGTAAATTACTCCCATCTAAATGTATTTTGCATGGGGGAAGGAATAAAAGAACACCCTCGAGATACGTCTTCGTCGTAGAAAGAATTTCACTATCCGAAGCACTATCCGAGCTGGGTTGAATCTACGAATCTTGTCCAGAAAAGGATGCTAACCAGGAGAATTTAAATCCCTGAGGAGTGCTTTTTAAATAAAATTCAGCTTTAAATATAAATTGACAGCGGATGGAAGGAATTTTAGAATGTTCACCAGAAGAAGCCTACTCGTATCGAACCTTTCAATCCATTACTTCCTGACATTCTAAACTTCCGTATCCACCTAGCATCGCTCACATTCGAAGCTCAATCTCTTCGATAAAGCACTCCTCGATCAACATCCTCCCAACGACGATAGCTATATAACCCCCCCACCGAAAAAAAAGGAGAACTCGCGCGATCCGACAAAGCGACAGGAAATCGAGAAAACATCGAAGGGTTTCGGGGTGAGTGGAATCGTAGGGGGATGAAGTCGAGAGGGAGGCGGTCATACGACATCTTACCTCCAGAAGCTCCTGACTTTGCGTCTGGGTCTGGGCCTGCTGGGTATTGTCCATGCTGAGGTTGTTGGCGGCGGCGGTGGTGGTGGTTGTGGTGCCGGTGGACGACGTGCTGGAAATTGTTGTGGATGGCAGCGTCGGTTGCGAGGACGGCACGAGCGTCGTGGAGGCGGTTGTCGTCAATGAGAGAGGTGCCGATGGGGGTGGTAGCGATGGTACCACTTGCACCTGGGGTGGTGTCACAACGACGGCCGGCAAGCCGGTGGTATTGTTGCTGTTGGTGGTGCTGGTGGTGCTTAGCACCGTGTTGGTCACCAAGGACGTAACGGAGACCAAATTCGACGTGGTGGATTTTTTCGTCTCCTCTTCGCGATCGGTGTGCTGTTGCATCATGTCGCGGTTCCTCCAGCTCTCAGCGATGCTCTCACGATTCTTCCATATGGTGGCCACCGTACTGCTAGCCAGACCCAGCTCGCGCGCCACATCGCTCTTGCTCTTACCGCGTTCGATCTCTTGGATGATCTTCATTTTCTGCTTGATCGTGAACGCTAGCCGCTTTCGACCCTGCGTTTGTAGGTTTAGGGATGCCCAATAATCGATCGTGTTAATCGACGTTTCGTTACGTGTCGGGTGATGGTCGTGCGCGAGTGACACCCTTCGCTCATTACCGCGTCTCGTCCTTCGTTCGAGGAGGACGTTCGAGAATTGCTTAGAGCTTGGGTGGAGAGTGGTTGTGGTGGTGATGGTGGTGGTTGTGATAGGTGGTTGGGTATGTACCGTGGTCACTCTGTCTAGAGGATAGGCTGAGCCTTTTTCGAGCTTCGTTACGAACTGAAAGTTGCAACAAGAACAAACTATGGGGAGGGGCTCGAAACACAGAACTGCGATACACCGCTACTAATTCATCTATCCTTCTATTATCTTTTACAAGCTCGGTTATCTAATCTGACTATTTTAAATTACTCGTGAACCGTTCGTTACGTGAGATAACCAAAGAAAGTTATGTGTTCTGAAGCAGAGAGTGAAACCCTGTTTGTCCACGACGAATGAAGATCGATTAAGATCGATTATACGAGAGTAAATGGGCATCCCTATTTTCGCACGTCCCAGTCTAGTTTTACCAACCAAACATTTACATCTACATTTTTCACTATCATTTTCCTTTCTTTTTTTTTTTTTTTTCATCTCCATTGACGTTCTTCCCTCTAACGTCTCACCCTGCACGGCCTGTGTTGTTGCGTGTATGTTTTTCAAAAACATGGCTGGACGGGTGGTTCGCGTTTATGTGATGTACAAGTGCGTGTGAGGGTGGATGCAAGTGAATACGAAGGGATGAATGAGCGAACACGAGTGACAGTGAGTGAAAATAAAGGGTTGTCGGTGGAGGATCGGTATGTGTCTTATTTGGACGAAGGGACGTTTCCGTACTGTATCGGGTAACTTTGGACAACTATCACAACGGATGGACTATTAAAGTTTTCTACGCTCGCGTTATCTACTTCGTCGAATCATTCTCGTCACGGAAAAATCCTCGAGGATCGTTGAAAAATCTTCATCGAGATCATAAAGTAGGATTTCTCTTGCTGTTTATCGTTGCGAGAAGTTTTCCGGACGAAACTCGTCTATTTCACTTTATCTGTTTTCAAAATCGTGCGCTCTACGATTCGTTTAGCGTAAACCAGAAAAAGTTTCGAAGATTTTTCTTAAGATCAGAAGGTGGTATCTGGTTTTAAGAATTCGAAGAGCGCACGATCGAAAACGCCAAGTTCTGTTCAAGATGCAAAGAGCCACGGAGGTAGATTTCTCCTCGAAGAGCAAATATCTAATCTCTGTGCGATTTCTAAATCGATCAATCTATGTTTTCACAAGATCATTCGCCGTCAATCTATGGAAATCAGGCGGAGGACATAACTATGCCACGAACAATAACCGATCTATACTCTTGTGACTGTCTACACAGCGTACACACACAAAAAAAGCAACCGCGCATTACACACACTATCACTATACACATCTCGAGCAAATAGAATTTTCATTATTTCTTTTTTATCAACAAAGCTTGAAAACCATGGGTGACGTCGATGCCTCGAGACACAATAAACCAATGAATAATCATTTGGAAAAATAGCATCATTGGTTCACTTTAGGATAAGTGTGACACATCGACATCATCTTAGGTCCCGATTTCTCTTTCCAACAATTTATTTCCTTTCTCTCCTTATTCATCCATTCTCTCATCATTCTCTCTCTATGAAAGCTGCACGATTCATTAGAATTCTCATTGAGAAATCCAAATGATTTTCGGGTCGGTTCTCGCCGAGTGGAGGACCCGGAAGCGAGATGCAGCCACAAAAAACGATCTCCGTTACACGACTAAAAAACACGTTCGATTCACTGACGAAGGATGGAAACGAAAAAAAAAAGAACGTACACAAAACTAAAAATTTGCGGAGCTAAGGGTGAGAGGCTCGGGTGGTGTCATTCGGAGAAAGAGATCTTTTTTTTTTTTAAGGAGGACATGCTTGGGTTCTCCTGTCACTATTGCTAGCGATTCTTGGTTGTCTATGGGGGTGGTTCAAAGGGTTTTGGTTTTCGTGTGTCCTGGGACGTTTTCGTTGGTTGGTTCTCGGATTCGTAAATGGGTGCTTTCATAAAGGTTGGAAGGTTCACATATGCGAGTATATAAAAAAGTTTCTGGTTACAAGAATATCCACTTGAAGAGTATATGTATATATGTATATATGTATATATAAAATGTACAAATAGATGTATATACATCATATACGTATATAGATATAGATAATGATATATATATATATATGTATAATATAAATACGACACACACAGAGAGCATGCGACACGCACGACAGGTGGACAAAATACAAAAAAATAATTTCAAAAAAAAAAATAAATGTAATAGGTATCCCAAATAGAGTAAAAGAATAGATTCCTTGTGAATGAAACAACGAGAATCGAGACAAAACGTGAAAAGGAAATAATACGGCGATAGAAGAGCGTCAACTTACCTCGAGCAACTGTTGATTTCGAATCTCCCGTTCTCGCCTCACTGCTTCCTGCCTCTCTGACTTTTCTTGTTCTTTGATCAGCCTGCAACATTGTAAAAATCTATGACATAAAAATATGGTAAGAATGATGCTTGAACTCTGATGAATTTTGACGTCTTCGACATATAAGGAGATTAGAAAATGAATTTGAATATCAGGATAGACTGTTCAACTTACCTGGCTTGCTCCTTGTGCCGTTGTGCTTCTTCCTTGGCGAGTTTCTTCGCGTACGCGAGCTTCTCCCTTTCATACTGATTGTTTGTTCTCGCGTCCCTGAAACCACCCGCGGCTCTGAGCTCTTCCAATCTTCTCGCCACTTCCTGCGCGCCCAACCTAACGAATTCCGCCTCCGCTAAGCCCATTGTCGGCTGGAGGAACTCGCCCACCAGAGGACGGGAGGAGAAGGAAAAGTTTGCGGTCGTCAGTTCTGGTGGATTCTGTTGCTCCAAGAACTGAAAATCGTCGAGAACACTCGTCATTAAAAAATGAAAATTCTTCACGATAATCTAATATGATATATGATTTTTCATTTCTAAGACGTTAGTTGATCGTGCTTGGAAAGGGTTAAAGCTTGAATCCAGTCCAATTTACTGTTTCAAAGTGTCCCGGAGACACTAACCTTCGCCAAATCCGGACTGCTCCTGAACGTCTTTCCGCAAGGGCTGTAATAAGACACGTCACCCTTTATCACTCCCGACTTCCCTAATCCCTTGATGACAGTCTCCCGTTTCCAGCCACGTTCCAGAGGAACCTGTAGATCCCTTTCGCTGGGCTTCACCTTTCTCCTCTTCGCGCTGGATACCCCGTCCACGTTGTCGTCGTCAGTGTCCGTCACAACATCCGTGTTACTTCCGCTCTCGCTGGTCACGTCCATGTTGCTCTCTTCACCGGACGCCTCCAGCAGCTTGTTCTTCATCTTCTCCTGTAAAGATCGCTATATAGGGAGCATGGTTTTAGTGGAAAATCATAAGTGTAAAAAAGCAAAGCTAATCGACTGACAGTCGTTCGGATCCTCTTCAGCGGCCTCTCCTTTTTGCGGTTTTAAACGAAACCAAATAATTTCAAAATAAAATTGAATAACAAAAAGGAAGGAAGATACTAAATTTGCAAATGAAATAGAACGGAATAGAGAATGCTGTCTATGGAGAAGATACGTTCTTAGAATTCAGAGATCAACGATTATCCGATTCCATTGAACAGCACCATCTTCAGATTGAAAAGGATCGTGTCGAAGACAAACTTTACCTGATTCTTGTCGTCACCTTGACCCGTGGCGGTGGCGTGCAGCTGCGCAGCCAGAATATTCGACCTCAATAGCGAGACCTGGTGAGACAATGGCACGCTAGGGTCCAACGTGGGCGTAGGTTTAATCCCCAGGGCTCTGCTTTGAGCTAGTAACGAGGCAACGGTGTTCTTCTTCGGCTTGGACACACCGCGACCCAGGTTCCTTGGTCGACCATCCTTGTGATGGGTCGTACTCGCGCTCTCGCTCTCCTCGCTTCCGCTGCTCGGTCGCTGAGGCGAATCCGCGGCGGCGAACAGCTGGGCCAACGAGGGACTCGGCGACGCCGGCACCGGTACCGAATTTTGCGGCACCCTTCGAGGTTTCGGTCCCGGCTTTCGTCTTGCTGTCGTTCGAAAAATAAACGCGATTTTCGATGAAGCGAAGAAAATTAAGAGCTCGATAAGCTCGTGTTAAAAGTACACTTACACGTTCGGTCGGAGGCAAGCAACGACTGGCTTAAATTACTGAGCTGACTGAGCGGTTGACTACCAGAAATCGGCGAGCTACCGCTCGTCGTCGACGGTTTCAGGGAGAGATTCAACGGCGCATCCGAGTCGCTGGTGCTATTAGCATTGGTGGTGGTCGTGTAGGACGTTGGCGCCGGTAAAACGGAACCATTGGTCGAGTGTGCTGGCAATTTGATCACTTCTACACGATCAACGGGCTCCCTGTAGTCGTTCGACTCGGTCTGCAAGAACGTTCAACGACAAAACGTTACGATGCTTCGACATATTTCTTTATACGAACAACAGATAATTAAACAGGCATATATATATTTTTATTAATTAATGAATTACTTATTGGTACGCCTAATGATATGCGATACGAAGTCGTCAATTAAATTACTGAAAAATTATGCAAATTATGTACATTCGAGAGGGAGTGAAAAGCGATATCCAAGGAAATACACGAAACAGAAACGATAATTACCGCCGTGCGATTGTATTTTCTCGGTTCCATCATCAACGACGTGGTCGTCGTGTTTGTCTGATGAGCAGAAAGAGCAGGTACATTAGGTGGTGGGTGTACACTCACACTTGGCGTGTCCAAGGATATGGTCTTCTTCCTTCCGCGGTTCGTTGTCCCAGGAACCTTCGGACCGACTATACTCGACGTGTACTTGATGATCTCTGTGTCAGGAGGTAATCGGACACCTCCCAATATACTGCTAGGATCGCTAAATAAAATGATTTATACAGTTCAATCGATTGCACTTCAAATCTTTATCAACCCTTCGAAGAATTCGTGGAAAACGTCAAATTAATTCCACGTCCTCGAAGGGTTGACGTACAGCGGAACGCGGTGTGTTTTTGTATTTATTTTTTAAAATCGCGCGGAACATTAAATACAGCGACCGGTGGACTAGTTAAAGGGACAAATTGTTTAAAACGACGCCTACGTTAAGGGCCATCGAGCAATCATAACAACGAAATTACACGGTTACACGAGCACCGTATGAAAGTTAAATGAACGAGTAACGGATGAATTCACCCGGTGAAATAGCGAACAACAAAAATCGATATCTCGTTGTTGGAGCATCTCTGTTTCGGTTCATTTTATTTCGTTCTGTGTATTTTATATATATATATATATGTTTTGTTCGTTTATTCTTAACAATCTCTCACCTGCCCTCTTTCGCAGAACTGCAAGTATCGGAAAGCGTGGAAAAATAATTAATGGCAAAATGTAAGTGCACTGAGGACGCCAGGCGTCTGTTAAAAATAATGGACCAAAAAAGAAAATAAAAAAAAAAAAGAAAGAAATCGATTTAACGAGGTTACACACACACACGTAGAATCTCGTACCTGACGACGTTCGTTTGCGAATTTTGCGTGCTGCTGACCGGGGTACTGTGATGAGAGGACGTGACCGGTGGTGCTTGAGTCGACACCGGCAAACTGCTGCTTGTCATGCTCGGCGTCGTCGAGCTACCGCTGCTGGCCGGGGTCGTTTTGTGACTCTTGCTTGACTTAGCTTTTGGTTTGCCGTAACAGAATTTAGCTGGTTAAGAAAATCGTCACGGAAACTTCCTTAAACTTTACGAGTTATCTCTTTATATTCAGCCAATCGAGGGAACCGATCCGATTTCTTTTAACGAAACGTACGAATTTCCGGGCTTTTCTCACTTGGCTGATTAGAATAAGAAATTTTTTTCTTGTTATACTTACACTTACTGGACTTGTGAGACGATAGGGACGGGGGATTAAGTAGAGAGGCAGGATAAGGTGGCAGCAGGCTTTCGGCACCAGGCGGAAATCCGGAGAGTCCTGCCGCTCCTTGTAACCTCGCGAGGTAGTCCTGTGCCGCTAAGTGCGAGGCCATCGTCCACCATGCTGCACTGGCAGGATTGATTCCTGCGATCATTCGTCAGATTTTTGTTTTCGTTAATATTGCGATGAATCGTCGCCTAGCAACCAGTTGGTTTATATTAGAAACATCAATGAAAGTTAGAAACGATAATTTACCTAAACTAGCAGCTTGACTGGCAGCCACGCTGAGGGTGCCGAGGCTGCTGTGGGAGTACGGGGGTGGTGGTGGCGCAGAGGCCGGCGTGTGGCCTCCGAAACCAGGAGCAGAACCTCCTCGGCCGAGAATGGCATAAGCCGATGGCAAATGATGGGCTCCCAACCCATATCCACCCGGCATTCCACCAAAAAGCGACGAAGCTGCGCTGTCGCCCCGAGGCCAATATGCTGCAATCAAAACCGAATCGTCGACGTTCAATTACACGTGTCTGATAGCCAGCCTCCTCTATCTGCTTTCTTTCCACAATGAACAATGATAATATACACGAATTTATCAATTAATCAACTACGGCAATAATTAATTTCATAAAAATGAATATACAGGTTGATAAATAATTTTGAAACGAATTCTTTGTTTTATGAAATCGAGACATCCAGGTGGCCGAGATGCGTTCCAACCGCGCGAATCAAATAGAATATACACATCGTTGTCGACACAAGATTCGAACAGATCTTGACGATGATACCGTTTCCCCGCAATAACAATTAACGCTGCCTGTGAACGCGTACCACCAATTAAACCGTCTTCGTTACGCCGTTAATTAGGATTATCAGGAGACCAGTGAACGGTGTTATCGAGCCGGGCAAATAATTAAAGCGTTAAGTCGCGTCTTCGGGTTGGTTCGCGGCGCAACCAGAACGAAATGCAAGCGAAATAAAACTGTTGAACAACCCGAGAAACTCGTTATGATAATGTACAGCTTCGGACTACGATGGCAACCAGTGAAGGATAAAAATTGAAAATAGCGAATTGCTAAGTAAACCAAAGGGTTATCGATTCAACGATGAATGACGGATTACTGTGACAATCGTTTCAATTGGTTATAAGAACTGAATAGACAAAATTATTGAAGAAAAGTATCAGCTTTAACCCAGGCTTCGATCGAAATCGTTCTCGCGGTTCGATAGGATAATCGGTCGAAAATTTGTTCACCATCCGTTCCTTCGTTTATTTGTATAATTTATATTATTGCAAACACGAGAGCAAATGTACCGTTGATTTTCTACGAGTACCGTGGCCTTGAGCAAGGCCGTGGCATTGAAATCCAAGCGGCGCTTTAATTTATACCGGTCGTTGAACCCTCGACTCGCTTATACCACTACTTCACCGACTGAGCAGCTGCATAATGTGTTCTAGCTGCGTCTACAGGCTGTCTCAAAAACCGCAAATTCAAAGAATCATTCAAAAAGTACTGTACCATCTTGTACAAATGAAGAAGAAGAAACCATAAGTGGAACAATAATTTCTGTTTAATCGCGAATGATAGGTTCGTTAATAAATAATTGCGCAAATTATCTACCTTTTCGATCAACTTTTAATACAGTCACAAATTTCTTTCCCTAATGAGGCTAACCAGGGTGAACCTATGTATTTCGTGCTTTCCTCTTTAACGTAGACGCTTTAATAGCAATTCATAATTCAAGTAACCGAGCAAAGAACGAGAGCATTAAGGCAGTTCATTTTTAAAAATTCCGTTTAAATTCATAAGTGAAAATAAATGTTGAACTTGATTTCATCTCTACTGACATCGTCCTAGACGAGTGGAGGCGACAGTCGCGACGCGTCGCTAATTTCCTGTTTTTCCGAGGACCTTAATAAAGGGCCCACCCCCGCCGGGACGAGCATTGTTTTTCCGCTAATCGATGACCACGCCGAAAGCTCTCCGGCGTTAAAATCGTTAAAATCGCGCAATAAACGTCTGCCGCGTAGAGTGACCGGTTATTGGGAGCTGGAATCACGCGTACACGCAAGCTGATATTTATTCCAAGACAGATTCAGCCGGTCAGGCCAGGCCAGGCACAGACCAGTCGATTTTATGGCGGTGTAAAAGCCATCTGCCGTGGCGACTTCTCCTTTTTCTATCGGATATAACTTCCAGGCAAATCAATCGTAATAATCTACACTTAAATCGTCTAAGTAATCTAATTAAGAACCCAAGAAAAATTTTTAGGAAAAGCTCTTCGAGATGTAGAATTTGAACTCGAAACAGAAAGCAGCGAGCAAGCTGAATCCGTCGGATAACGAGATTGCACGGTACGATGGTGGTGAGTCTTCAATCGACGACCACCCTCGACGAACAACAAATCTCTGTTGTATGAGCGAAATCAGCGAGCGAGCGAACAGGCAAGAGAAACTAAACAAGCTATGCAGGAGAGAACACGGTGCAGATCGTAGGAGCGTCGTCACGGAGAATGTGTTCGGTCCGTGAGCCAGGAAAATGGCCGTGTTATTAAATCGATCGCCGTTCTGGCCAGTGGGGGTTGGAGCTAGGCCAGAGAGGGTTTCCCACCGAGGTAGAGAGAGAGAGAGAGAGAGAGAGAGAGACGCGTATATAACCCATGGCACGGGGGGATGATGAGAACGCGACGGAAAGGGGCCGGGAATTACGAATGGCTCTTGCTTTAGCTCGCCACGACGGAAATCGGGATTGTCCCTGATTTCGTTCCTTTTAATGTATAATGCCTTTCGTACAATTCCTCTGTGCGAGCAAACGTAACGCTGATTTCAATGAAACGGTACTTATTAATTGATGACGTTCGATGCGACGATCCTCGTGTCCTACTTCGCGTTCGATTCTTACCCTCTCGTTAGTGTAGCTAATTAAACGTTACCTTGAAGTTTCGATAAATTCTACGATAGTCTGCGAAAGTAACAAGAGAGAAACAATTGCGGAACAGGGTAACGTAACTTCCAGCTGCTATTTTAGGGATATACGAGCGGGAATCTTTCATTTTTTTTCTTCTTATTCTCTTTATCTCTCTCGCAGTCTCGACGAGAGGAACGTGCCGAGAAGAAAATAGCTCGGACCAACGGCGTGGCACGAAACGACGCGAATCTTACGGCTTGGAAAGGCGACGGAATGAAAGATCCAAGATTTAACACGACCTTATATTCGTTTATCGTATTCAACGCGTGATACAAATAAAACTGTTCAAGCTTTATATCACCTTGACCATCGGGTCTTGAAATGATTGCATTAAAAAACCTTCAGCTAAGATCGTATCGTCGTTTGAATCATTTTAAATAGATATATTGATAACTAACAGACTATCTCATCGTTGCTGAGAATCATCCGAAGACACGTATAGGTGAAACGTGTATCGACAAGATCCCACCCGTTTGCCTGCAACCCCTCCGTACGTTTCGCACCTTAACGTCGACGTTTCCGCTTATAACCGGCCAATCGTGATTCAGCCTTGCCTCGTGGAGACTGGAGAGCGTACGTGTGTATCCTGTCCCTCGAGGAAGAGGATCGATCGAGGGATCGGAATGCCTCGAGGGTTGGCGCGCGCGCGACCGTCGCCGCGATGCGATGGCTGGCTCGCCTCCAAATCGCTTTAATTTCGTTTACGCGACGACCAAAGCACAGAGAATAGACCCCCGTCTACACGAACCTTCTTCCCTCTCTGGCTGGTTACTTCGGTTTCCCTCTAGCCGCCGCGAAATCGTCGACGAACGCATATAAGAACCGGATATCGAGCCGAAGAGGAAGGGGATCGGTGTCTAAACCCCGGTCTTCTTCGGTGCTAATTAATTTCTCGTTAACGAAGCGACGTCGCGCGGACGACAAGCTCCCTTCTTTCGACGTAATCGAGCCAAGACGTCGGCTAAGTTCGTTATAAACATAGGATCAGCTTGACGAAGTAATAAAGGGCTGGTCGCTCGTGGTAATTGTGGATTCATCCAGCGGCTACGGGAGACCGTGAATTATGTTTAACGTGGCTAATGGTGAAACTGTTCGTGTACACATAGTGTGCAGCTACGACCGACGGATGCGTGGCGATAATTGTACAGGGGGTTCGTTTGCGCGAGGGAAGATCGAACGATAGATAGTCGATGGAAAGCGTGGATTAATCTAGTCCAGTTAGGAAATCTAAGAAATTTTCATTTTATGTCAACTAAGGGAAGAGGCTACGCCTGGTATGACGAAGATCCTGAAGTATCGAGGGAAAGCCGAGTTAACGTTTCCGAAGTCACAGGCTGCATTATGCAGCTCGCATCCGAGGCAGACCATCGCGAATCGCTCTTACCTACGTAATCTCCCCACGAAGAGAAACTTCCGGCGGATTACCGCGCTCCATAATTCAACGGTTCAATGTTTAAAAGGGCTGCAAGCTTGGCCGTATCCAGCCCAGATTCGATTGATATTTTGTTTTTTGCACACCGCTATTTATGCGCCGGGAGGACGTTGCAACGTTTATCCTGAATTAATGTGATTCTTTCAAATGACGTATTACTGTACTGCTATTAATTCTGTTCACTCTTTGGAAATAAAACGTACATTCCAATAACGTTTCAAATTTCTTTCACTTTAGTAATACAAAGAGCGGGATGACAAAAAATAGTTTCTAACTTATCCTTTCTTTCGTTATTACCGTACCAAGTGTCTTTTTCTTATCGAACATCTTTCGGCTGCTGTTATATCGAATTCGTGGCACGCCTAACGCATTTATCAAGCCGCACACGTTACATGGCTGGAGCCGAGGGAGAAAGGATCTTGGTAAGTGGAGTGAGGGGTTGAAATTTTGCGAGAACGGAGGGAGAAGGGCGTAGAGAAATAAAAAGGTGAGAAATGGCGAGGGCGGTTAAGAAAATGAGGCGGAGTCGATGAGAAAATTATAATAGGGTGAAAAGTGAAAGATTCAGAATATTGAAAAAGGAAAAATCAAAGAGAAAATAGGAACGTTCAAATTTTCATCGCAGTTCACCGTGGTGGATAATAAAGGATAATTAAAGACTAAAGTGAGAGAAGAAGGGAGAAAATAAGAGAGCGAAAAAAAGGGGACCGGAGAACGAAAGTGAAACGAAAGGGAAGGTGTGTGAAAAATTGTAAAAACTAGGAGAAGAGGGATGAAAGAAAGGGAAAAAAGGCACGATGGTAAAAACATGTCGACGTGGGAGAAACAGGCAAAAACATGGCCTCGGGAATATGAATTTCCATTGAAGAGAACTAAAGAAGAAATTAACGAAGAAACTCTCTGCTGGTGTAAATAAAAGCATTCGAAACGCGCAACATCGGGAGAAAGGCAAATTCATATGAAACGTGAAAAACAGACGATCCCCGTGTACGTACGGACTTGCAAAACGAGGAAAAGCTCAGGGAAGAAAATTAGAGTAGCAAACGAGTATGTCGACGATGTTCGAGAGAAAACGAAGGGGAAACCGGACGAAGAGGGTAGAAGAGGAGGATGAGAGCGAGCAGTTACTCGCACGAAAGTGACGGCCACGCGTGGGTCGCCATCTACTCACACTTCTACATAAAAGATCGTGTCGAGCGTCTACAGAAATTTCTACAACTGTGCAATCAAAAATACTTCGTTTTAATTTTGATATTATGAATTTCATTAAAAATTATTATATCAAAATTATTGCTAGACTGACCTTTACTACTATTCTCTATTCTCTTTTACAATACACTTTATAGTCGATCATTTTTAAGAGTACACACACTGTTCGTGACTCGGCGTATACGAGCGTGTCCCTTGTGAACGCTGACCAAATGTCACGCTCGATTCGGTCTGCTTACGCGTACGCTCTCGCCCACGCTCGACTCCGGTTCAAACGGCGAAGCAGTTTCAACGATGCGTCGCCTCCGATGGAAACTTTGAGGCGATTACGAGGCTCTAGCGGGAATTGCGTGGTTCGACCGCGACCGTAAAACGCGATACAACGTTCAGGAAACGTTGGAAACACGATAGAGCTTCCCGAGTCGAGGAGAGAATTTTTCAACTCCGTTTACGGTCGTCCGTGAAATAAAATTCAACATCTGTTATTCAGACGCTAAATTTCAAACATTCTAATTATTTCGTAAATAAATTTAAGAAACACTGAACAAAGTCGAGAAAAATTGTCAACAAAAATTTGTTTCCAAGCTAACGTTTCATCCGCTTTCTCGAATGCATTCTTTCGCCGTAATGCATAACGATGCTGTTGCAAAAGGAAGCGGAAGTAAAGACGGAAGAAACTATCCGACAACACTTTCAAACAAAAACTCGGTACACTGGAGAAGACGAAGTTTTCGTCGTGGAATTAGAAATCGAAAAGAAGTAAAAAGAAAAATTGTCTGTTTTGAAAAATTATATTGAATGCTTCCTTCAGATTTCATCGACGGGTTTCTCAGAAAACGCAACGAGATACGCAGGCTGAGCGCGCGTTGTTCTGTCAGGCATGGGTAATGACGATGACACAGATGACGTTGACGAGGGAAAAGAAGCTGGGGAGCTTCAAACGAAAGCTGCGAACCTCGTCGTCCCACGCGTCGTTCGCGGGAAATAGAAGCGCCACTTCGCTGGGAGAGTCCAACGCACAACGCGACGTTATAAACGAGATCCGGAGAGGCTGGATGCTTTTTTTATTTTCATTCTTTCATCGTTAAGACGTTTCTCGATTTTGCTCGAGAAAATAATCTCTGTTCACAGTTCAGACAACGATGAAAAGAAAATAAACAGGTATAACAAACAATTTCGGTACGAAACCCGTGCGATGTACTCGTTATTCTAATTTGAAAGCGTCAAGTATCTATCTAAATCAGCTTAATTATGAATTGAAATCAATTCTATACGACAACGCGCGAGTTCGCCGAAAAATCCGCGAGAGAAGGAAAGAAAATCGTAGAAGTGATAGAAAAGGGAAGCTGTATCGGTGGAAGAAGGTAGCTTTGGTGTCGGGGCCACGGTGCTCACCCCTGCGGGGTAGTTTCAAACGAAAACTCTGCCTCGTCCAACGAGTTTGTATCGAGCGTAGGAGGCAAAAGCGCGAGAGGCTGTTTCTCTCCGACAAAGTGAAACAGAGATAAAAGGAGGGACAAAGAGGAGGGTAGAAAATGGTGAACAGAGAAACGGGACAGGGAGTTAGTCAGGAACGAGGCAAACGAGCGAAACGGAGAGACAGAAAGGAAGATGAACGTAGCGGCGAAGGATAGAGGAAAAGAGAAGGAAAGAGGATTCTCTTGGTGGCATAGCACGATGCTGGCGCGTTCGTTGCTGGTGCTGCTTGCTGCAGAACGAGCCTGGGACGAGGGACTCGTTGAAGGAAGGGGAAACTGCCGCAGACCGAGGCCATGGTAGGCGAGGTGAGGTGGCAATCAATAAATATACAGAACCAGCGGAGAGCGAGAGAAAGAGAAAGAGAGAGAGAGAGAGAGAGGGAGAGAAAGACAGGATAGATCGTGGCAGAGGAGCTGCAACGAGAGAAAGAGAAAAAGAGATACCGAAAAGGGGATGATGCCGAGAGGGATGGTTGGAGAAAACGTTTCGTCGTGTCTGTCCGTTCTTGCGTCCCCAAAGCGCCACGAATTTAACCCGACTCTTCGAGCCAGACAGAGAAAGAACACTCTGGAGAGGCTTCGCTTGAAAAGACAGAACAAAGATACGACCAGTTCTGAAAGAGAGGTAGAGAGAACGCGAGAGGTCAGAGGTGAGGCAACGAAATAAACGAAATCCCATTCAGAACGATGGAAGAGTCCGAGAAGACAACCTTTCTGGGCCGAAGAGACGAGCCAACCCCTGACTACGATGTTCTCGTTTCCATTCGAACGGATGCCAGGATATCTGTGCACCTCTACGATCTTCGGCTACTTTTTTCCCCGGAGCTATAATTGGAGAAAGATCGGTTCGAATCCTTGCTTTATTATTACTCGCGATTCATGGTCGATGATCGACGAAGAAGGAAATACTGGTATCGGGAAAGGAGGAGAGTAATTCGAACGTCTATGCTGATTCAGTAATTAACGTGTCGAGTGGTGGATGTATCGGGAATGCTCCAAGATCGGTTTGATTGGTGCAATCGAAGCGTGAAAGAAAATGTAGTCAGGGTATCGATTGGCACCGTACGAAAAATCGCGGTGTCTGATTTGCTTCAGGCTATAATTGGGCTCTCGACTATCGGCTAGAGAGAAAGAACTGTATCTGAATAGTAGAAATAGAAAATAACGAGTAATCTTTCGGAATGCTATTTAACCCTTACCCGGTGTCAGAGGTGCATCAAAATGCAATGCAATGCAATTGAAACGCATGACTGAAAAACTGTTATTTTAATCGCGTCTGGTTGACACTGTCAAGTTAAATACCGTTAATGAAGACGGCCGAGCGATATAACACCGCCAATTTTAATTAGTTAATAGCACCGCGATGAATCTAGAAAGTTAACGTAGTCCTCGAGAAGCTGGCGGCGGTTCGCTATGAAATCGCTTAAAGTAAATACTCGAATGAAATACGGTTTAAACCGGCGTGTATCGCGGACTGTGTCGTCTGATCGTTCGAGTAACGCCCGAGAAAAAAGGAGAACAACGTCAGAAGGATCCTCGAATCGTTGGAGAAAAGGCTAACCAACTGAAGGGCTCGATTGCAAACGTGCAAGTAGTGCTAATTAAAGTAAGTGGCTGAACAGTGCACTTCGTTCTCGAGCTCCATCACTAAGAACATGTACAATATATATATATATATATATATATATATAAGTACGTTGGGCTTCGACTTCTTTGAAAAAAATAGCGTTAGAAGGAGTCTTGGGTGAACGCGAACAGGAAACGAGAGGCTTGCTGAAAGAACAGCTGCTGAATGTACAAGGTGGTTTACACGTAAACTGAGGTCAATGGTTGTTCAAGGTCTGAAACTTTGAGAAGTTTCGTTGAATTTTACTTCGGTACAACACTAAAACCTTGAAATACCTATTTCCGTAATTTAAAATTATTTGCTGAAAATTTCCACCGAGTTAAATAATTATAATTAATATCTTCGTTACCGTTGTCCATCAGCTGTATCTGTTACACTAAAAAGTTCGTACGTTCTAGCATGCACAGTTTCATGTTGGTGTACGCAAGAGGAAGCAAAATAAGGGTAGAAAAGCAGAAAAGGGTAGAGAGCGAGAGAGAGAGAGAGAATAAAAAAAGGGAAGAAAAATTGGCTTACCGCCGAACAGCGCAGTCGGATCGAGCAACGGATTGGCCTGGTCCGCCTGGAGTTTCTCGGAGGCGGAGGTGGCGCCTGGAGTCACCGTGGCCGCTGCTTCGCCTCCTCCGCCACCTCCACCGCCCCCGCCACCTCCGCCCGATGCGGAGTTCTCCTTCTCCATGCCAGTCCCCTGAAAACGTGCATCAGCGTTTCGTTAGATCCGTTAACTTTCTACGCCGTGGATAGACGGTACAAGACGGTTCGCTACGTAAGGGACGAAGAAGAAGAACAAGGAGGGTGGTGAACATTTTTTTTCGGGAAAACTGATGGTACCTCGTGACAGAAGGGAGAAATCCAGAGGGAAACCGAGTAATACAGCTCTGGCTAGCGCGGACCTTCTAAGGGGGTTGCGATGATCGAGGGTCGCTGATTAGGGGGTGAGTTTACAGGGCGGATATGTGTTATCAAGATTTTAAGGACGGAATCGATTTTACGGGACGCGTGGGTGGTTTCAGATGCGATTAGGGTGGGCTGCGTGCGACCAGCTGGAAATTCGGGGAAATCGGTTTGAATATTCGAACCGTCTGTTAGTTTTCGACACATTTCATGCCGACGATACATGTATTTCAGATTTAATCATACCTAAAAATTGCACCTCTTTCTAAAGGGAAACAAGTTCGCGAACAAAAGTGAATTGACAAAATTGCAACATATTACGTGAACGATTGGAAACCGTGCCACTCGCGGAGGCATCGCTGGTGTCCTCGTTTCACGCTCGAAACATCGAGTTCTCGGAAAGAATAAGGTCGCAATATGTTGTTCAGAGAAAAAATAACATGGCAACGCGTTTGTAGCAGGGGAAAGAAAAGCGTCGAGTCTACGTAATCGTTTGGATTCCAGTTAATTATGCTAATACCTCGACGCGGCTACGCGTCTTCTTCCTCTTTCTATTTTATACTTGATATCGATAGAGAGAAAGAGAAGGGAGACATAAAAATCCACGGTTAATATTTCAGTCACGCGCATACGTAAGCACGTCTCGGTGTCTCGCATGTTCATTCGATGACTGTTTACCAGTCGAAGAAAGGCTTCCTCGAGCGCTTTAAATAAAGGTCGTTCTCCCCTCTCAACGTTTCCCCTCCAGCGCTTCAATCAGCTGACTGGCACACTCCCCCTACCTTCACAGCCAGCTGTTGTATAAATATAATACAACGTTGAGTCAGGTTAGGCTGGTGCTACTAGGCTAGACACCGCACAGCCACTGGCACCGTTATATTATCATATACACGCTTGCTGTAGATACTCGCTCCTCCTCCTCGGTCTTACGCTTTCATATTAATTCAGTGTTTAATCAAGATTTTTCCATAACCCGTCGTCTATTTCAAATTTTCACCCTCAGGATTTGAAGGGTTAATATTCGAGTATTTAGAAGACTATTCGATTTCCGCTCCCCGTACCTTTCAATTGCTAAAAATTCGACTCTCCGAGGGTCCGCGATATTCCACGGATGCTCGTTCCGTGAGAGGAATAGCAAAGTCGCGGAGCGTGTACGAGCGTCGAATTCCCGGCATCCGGGAGGAATATCGAGAAAGAGAGGGTCCGTCCAGGCGCAATGGTAGCCGCTTTTCAGCCACGCGGCTACTCCGAGGTGCTCGTAAATTGGCCAGAGGAGACGACGACGAATAAGAACGAAGAAGAGACTAAGGTCTGCGAGAGAGAAGGAGACAGAGCAGAAGGTTTCGAGAAGAAGAGCCGACCCAGCAGCTAGGAGCATCGATTTCTCGACCGGTGTCACGCTTCTTCGAGCTGGAAATACCTGCCGTTACGAGAACACGCGAGGAAAGAGAAGAAAAATTATTACAGAGAGACTTTAAATTTTTCGATTTCACATAAAATTCAACATCCACGTGGCACGCTATTAATAGTATCATTTGGAAGTAGTAAAATCAATGATAAAGAAGACAAATGTATTAACCTCTTCTGACCATCTGTTTGATAGTTAAACAATGAATTTCTTGTACTCACGAGTAGTTAGTACAACGCTTCTTTGTTTCAGCAATTACATAAAATGAAACTTAGAAAAAGATAAGGTGCTCTTATCAAAAGATTATATCATTTTAAATAGCATTTTTTAAAGAACAAAGCGGGGTTCGCGAAACTCTGAGGAAGAGTTAATGCCAAAATTTGTATTCAAACGGTTTGGAGAACCAACAGAATGCTCGGGCAAAAGAGGGTGGAAAGAAAAATGAAGCTTGCCACGAATGTAACTGGGCTAGCGTGCAACAATAATATGGAAATACAATAGATACAGGGCTCGTGTCTCCGTATATCTTGCTGAACACATGGCAAGAAGAGGGACGAAAAGCTGGTCTTTTCCTTTTTCACTTTTGCTACGTGAAAAGTTTATCGGTTATTGCCAAGCGAGCATAGTGACCCAGACAGGACTATAAAAGTTTTCCTAGTTCAAAGATGATACCTTGGTGCATCATAATCTTTGACCATTTTTGTCAGAGAAGATTGCAAAAAAAAAAATATTCTTTTCAGTTAATTTAACTAAAGTCCCCTTCTATTGTATGTAAAAAATTTTAAATAAACATTGAATCAAACAACGAACGCAAATCGTTTATTTTTATACAGTAAAATAAATATTTTGAAAGGCAAACAATAATTGAGAAAAATATAGCGTGTAATGTTTTTTATCCATAGGAGGGAGAGATAAATTTCACAGGTGAGAACAATACGTATTCGTTTGTTAATGATTTTATACCCATTAAAATTTTATACCCTCGATACGCGGGCACAAAGTGAATATTATTTTACCGTTGCACCCGATAAACTCCATCCTCGGTTATTTGCATAATGATTTGTACTTTATTTGTATATATCAATCGTTTAATCAAGACCACGTTTATTTGTCGATTTCTATCCTTTACTCGCGTCAAACCGTTTCGTGAAACGATACGTTTATATAGTAATTTCAATGAATCCTTTTATTGGAATTTTTATACTATCATTCCACAATAAAAAAAAGAAAACAAATAACCAACATATAACATTGTAAAATTAAACCACTGGTATAACTTTGTCAATGTTCCATCATCGATGAAACGCGACGATTCGCATTAATCACTTTCAAAAGCATCGTTCTATTTCTCGCTCATTCGCTGAAAAACGATTCAAAATTTTTCCGCGGTGGAAAAAAAAAATAAAACGCCACTAATAATTACCGAAAAAATCTGCGACAACGTGGACGAGAGAGGTCGACGATAGGCAAACACGATCAATCAATAGGAGTAGAACGATATTGTTTCATAGTGTCATCGATGCACACGCGACTAGAATACTCGTTCCGGCCAGGTGACGTTGACAGGTGTCAATTTAGAGGTGGCTGCTGTCAAGAAACGTTACCTTCAGCCGTCCAAGTTAAATTATGAACGATCTTAGCCTGGCTAAATACAGTTCCATTAAGTATTCATACGACTGTAGTATATTCGCGGATAAAAATGAGAAGCGAGATGAAACAGGAGGGTAAATCGAGTAACGGGGAAATATATCAAACGTATATACGCGTGCACAAGTATGTGTGTTGACACAATATCGTTTTCCAATAGATGACCGATTACCGTGGGGAGTCTTGAATCTTTGTTTAACTTAGAACATATCCGTAGAGTGACTTCAATTTGTCTGAAAACGAAGCTACTACCAAGTACACATAGGTAACTTGAGTCTTTAGTATTTCAAAGTTGAATTCATACACGAATTCGATCGGACTTTTTTCATAATTTCGGAATCGAAGATGGTAAACGCGGTTTGTGTGATATTTTATGACCTTAAATAAGTGAAATTTAAAGAATAAATTTTCGACATAGAAAGCTTCGTTTGCTAGAAAAATGAATTTAAAAATCAACCCGGTATGTCTGACTAATACCTGATTTTACTACTTAAAATGTTTATCAAGTAGTGAAATCAGGCTATTCCATCCTCTGTGTATTTTATAAACTATATTATAGATAAATATGAATAAACAATGAAATAAATAAAATATTACCGATGATTTTAATATGTCCATGAATGATTTTCAGTAGTATAACCCTATAAATCTATCAACAATTCTTGGCATAGAAAAAGGACAATAGAATTTCGAGAGTCATATATCCTGTGAAATGTACGATCATAAATGAGTTAATTTTGTCTGAAACATCAACGTAGAACGAGCCTATCGTATCCATAGTCCGAATCAATTCTTGTACGCTTCCGCTTTCGCAGCCTCCGGTTCGCTGCTCTCGCATCCGCGTCAATTACAGGCGGACTTGGCCGCCGGCTTCGGGGGTTGGAGGATATACCTACATATACGCGACGGGAACGAGGACCACGGATCTTGATGGTTTCGCTGAGCGAAGCGGAGCGGAGCGGAGCAGAGCCGACGCTTGCGTTGCGGCCCACGAGGAATGGGGGAGGAAACAGAGGGACAAACGAACGGCACCGTATACGGGGTAACGTGTAGACGACGGGGTGAAGGAGAGAGAGATAGACGAGCGGACAGAAAAACGATGGGAGAGAGGGGAAAAAGACAGGTACGCGTAGAAGGAGAAATATACAGGGTGTCCGAGTTAAACTGATAATTAAATAACGAATAAAATAAGATCAAGTATCTCTAAATTAAGTAAATTAAAGAAATCTTAATATGAACGATAATTTCCTCTGAAAATTCCCCTGCACCTATTGTAACTTTGCTATAATAATTCTACACAATTGGAGCTTTAGGGAAGGGTGATGCACCCTTAACGCAATAAGATAATAAAGACACTAGTTTTCGCAAAAACATTCTTTCTATTTCAGCCTGCAATTTTGTCGACCATCGATGGTTACGAAATAACAGAAGTGTATCAGTTTAGCAGGAGCACCCTGTACTGGGAACGAGGAGAGCAAGCAAGGCGAGATCCAACGCGGAAAAAGAGAGAACGAGAGATATGGTCGCAGGAGGTGGTGGAGGAGGAGTAGCAATCAATACAGAGCCACCAGAGCAAAACCATCCCTCGGCTTCTCTCTCTCCTACGTTCTATCACTGTCTTTCTCTATCGTTTACCTATCGTAGCATCTTTCTCTGTTCGCCTCCCCCAACCCCCTAACAGCCACGAATACGACGGTTATATGGATGCTATAGGACGTGGAACGTCGCTAACAGGGACTTTCGTACGCTTCCACGGTGTATGTGTTCCTCTCCTCGGTTTTGTCGAACAGTCACCTGTGTGCGGCGCGAGTTACCTGCGATTATGAACGATCGAACGACGGGCAGATCGGAAACGGTCGCTTTTCTTTTTCTTTTAAGAGCAAAGCCTGCGCCAGCCTTTGAAGTGCTGGCAGGTTTTTTGCGATTGGTAAATGCATCCACTTTGCACGATTGCATTAGCTTGTTGTACGTACCTTGATTTTAAATGGCGAAATTATATTGGAAATTGATTTTTCATTCTTTGATATAATAATTGCCTTTGTAAGTGTCGCGGTTTGAGACTCGCGGTGCGACATTTAGGGAGGGAGGTGGTAATGTCCAAAATCATTCTATAAAATCTCTTGAAATATGAAGTTTCTACTAGTCGAGGCGATAACGGAACTGTTCGAGAGCGAAATAGTCGAGAATCTAGTCGTATTGTTCGACCAATGCCGCGGTGTACCGCCGTTAATTACACGGTACAGTTCAATGCTACATAATTCAAGGGTAAAGAGAAAGGCTGTTTAGTTGGACGTTTGCGATCCATGTGAACTTGGATCCATGGGACCCAGGGACCTTGACTCTCCCATCTCGTTTAAACCTTCCATAATAAAACGTGCAACGACGTTTCGTAAAATCTCCCTCGGTAAATAAACGTCGAGCAAACAACGTGGAGAAAGTAACGTTCTTTTTTAAATGGATCCTCGAACTCGTCGCTTGAATGTAATTAAACATAACCCTTTTAACACCTTCGTTCAATTGTCGAAAAGTCACGTTAGGGAAACAGTTGTATTTTTACGAATTAACAGTCTTATTTCTTCCAAGTATCGGATTGTATCATCGGTTACCCTCGCGGTAGTGAAACGCTTTAAATGCTTAGCACGAAGGAAAAAGAGAAAACGGGATTATTTGATGAGAGGAAGAGCAAGGTACTCACGATTAATTACGAGGCCTCAGCTCATAGTAAAAGCCGGCTCCACGAGGCTCCATCACACCTGAAACAGAGAAATACGGGTCTCCGTTAATATCGTCGTCGAACAAGAACTTCTTACATCGATAACTACGCGGGCAATTAGGATGCAAACATACCGGCCATTATGAAAATCTCACTCGTATTTGCATATTGACCGAATCGTTTGCCGCTGGTTTATTACATGTACGTTCCTGTATTTTGCAATTTATCGTTCCGAGAATCTCATTATACCGTCTTGGTTCTTAATCCTATTGCCGCGATATTTACCATGCGATCATCACATTTTCACATTTTTATATTTTTAAGAATATATATTATTTTTCCAATTGGATTTCCACTAGACATCTCGTCTGCGGTCCTTCAAATTCTAGTCCCGAACTTACGGCTCGTTAACAGCCTTCGAAACACGAAATCCTGCCCAAACCTCCGGAGTATCGACGCGACGATACATATTCCCTCTTTCCTTCCTTTCCTCCATCATCCACCGACGAAAGTAATACCACAAAACGAGTAAATTGATTTCGAAGTGGAAACGAGCGAGGGTAATATTTGTCGAAGGCCGGCTATGGTCGTCGCGCAACAAACGGGAGAACGTCCGCGTATCGGCGTTCGTTAATACGAAATCAATATTACTCTATCCACGGCGTCTGTCGTCTACGTTTCAAAAAACCGTTCAAATTTTCTACCAAAAATACCGACGATTTTTTACGGATATCGTGCGATAAGAGGGAACGTTTCAGAGATACAACATATCATAATACACACAGGCTGTAATTAACACGATTAAGATAATCATTGATAAAGTTTGTATCAATTCGTCGCCGACTTTCCGGGGGAATTTTTGGTATCTATAGAAAAGCATAGTGCGAGGAATGAATTGAGAAAGGAACAAATTTCTAAGACCCTGTTTTGCTAATTTGGAAATTTGAAGTCTGAAAATGCAGCGTCTATATCTCATGCGTTTTTGAATCAAACGACAAACCGTGCGAGCGTGTCGACAAGGACAGGCAATAGCGAGGTCTGGATACGATCCAAATTTTGTCGCATTAACCAAATTAGTATACTAGAGGTTGGAGATTGGAACGCGATGTACCGTCACGTAACGAATTTACGCGAAAGGGCTCTAATTTCTCGCGCGACGACGACGACCGGCAAGAAATCCCTGGGAATTTCGCAAACACACGTTCGCGATTCACGCTTCCGGAACCCTTCAACGAGGATCACGATGGATTTTGTAGCACTTCGTTGTCGGCTCGATTCGAAAGCGGCCGACACCGACGACACACTGTACGTCTTCCGCCGCACACGGATACGGAGAAATTTAAATGTGAAGCGTGGTTATTAAACACCTTTACGAGCGAGTCATTTCGTGCCGTATGTGAATTATACGGAAACGAGGAAACACGAATGCTCTGATATAAATGTTGCTCCGTTAGAAATTATTCTCATTCTAATTCCTCTTGAACTTAGAATTCTACAAATTTATTTATAGTTTATTTATCCGAGTAATATATAAATAAGAAACATAAAATGAAGAAGTGAAAATGAAACAAGGCATTTGTAGGATATATTCTTGTCACACGAGTTCATATCGCGGGGATGAGCAATAGGAACTCGAGTACTCTGCTAATCAAATCACTGAACTAACTCATTTGCGTTAATTGAAACGGCGATCCGGGACACGTCGAGGCTGCGGTACGAGTTCGATCGCGTCTAGACGAGGAAAAAGATCGAACCGATGCGGTTGTTTAATTAATTGGCCCCTCCTTTTGCCTCGACTTCTCGCCATTGAGAATAATCCACGCTTCGTATCGCATGGATCGAAGATTTCGACGACGAAGGTTATCAGACCGTCGTTAATTAAACGAGCCGTGCTCTTATCTTTCATAGATAACCACGTCGAAATAACTGACCTAGAGTAACGAGTTCCAGATGACGAAAAACTTGTGTTCATTGAAAAGAGAAATAAAAAGGCACGATCAAGGATACATGCAAATTGATCCAAGGTTATATTCTTTTTCTATACATAGAATCTGGAAGGGTTAATTGACCTCAGTACTTTATTCCATGGAACGTGAGATAATTCGCAGAGTCATCAAAACGAGAAGAAAGTATAGGAGGGATTAATTGTTATTAGTATCAGTTATCTAGTACATTCGAGTGTTACGGTAATTTAAGGCGTTTGTTACTGTTACAGGCATTATGCATTATTCATACAGTATGCAAATCCAACTCGGTTCTGCTCTAGACGAACGCGTTACGTGAAAAATACGATAATGCGTGGCCGCGGGTATACATTACCAGACAAAAGTTTTAAATTATTGTGTAAACGATGAATTAGTGTATTTTCTAAACAAAATAATCAATTTTACAAATTTTAAGATACTCTACTAGAAAATTTTTCAATGGAAATTTAAAAATCATAAATTTTATTTAATTTAAGCAGCTTTAAGACACTCAGGCGTTAATTTTCTTGGTGAAAATCTTGAATAATTTTAATGTTTCAAATCTGAGAAATCTGGCGATTATATTAACAACGGTAAGATGTTATTATTTGCAAAAAATTGACAAAAGATTAAACGACAACGTATGCAGAAGTAAACTTTTTGCCGGCAGTGTACACACGTCGAGAAAAATGAACGAAAGTAGTTTGTTCTCGAACGGGATTCAAACGTGCATTTATGCAATTAGTCTTTCGAACGGCCGCTTTTTCTGCGAATGGCAATTTGGGGAGTTCAGCTAGGTGAATTGTCGCCCGGAGAATTATTCGTAAAAATATTCCTATCATCGATTTTCGCGTGGAAGTAAAATCGATGGACCATCGAAATAATATTTATATTGTTCCAATTAAAAAAATAGAATTTGAAAAATGAGATAGCTCAGGTCAATCAGCCAATCCGTCATAACATACGCAAACTTACTCTCCCTAAAGTTTCAACTGTAATTTCTATGCAACAAGTGTAATCAATGTTCACAGTAATTCGATGCTCTTGTAACTTTATCCAATGTCGTCCAACTCCGATGCACCGTGTACAGAGTGTTCCGATTTCGATTAATCCATTGTGGTATCAATGAAATTAGTGATACTAAACAGCGTAACTAGGGTTAATAATTTTTTATAATAATAATTAGAATTCGTTTACAGACGATAAAATAAAAAAATTAATTCTGTAATGGTTCTTTGAAAAGGAATTGCAATACAAGGGAAAATAGAAGATAAATAAGGCTGTTGCAGGCAAGAGGAAAACAAAGATGCATAAGGGTGGGGGGAGAATGCCCCCCTGAGGGGGGGGGGTTGGTTCAACGTTCCCGGGGAGAATGAGCGTAATGCATCGCGCGAGTGCAACGAGAGACAGAGGCTGAGTCATCAATATAACTTTACGCACGTACGTGGAGCGGCCGTCACTACTACAATTCCATTCATAAATGTAAAGGCCGACTTACGCACACCGTCGCGCACGTGTGCCTATTAAAGGACCGTATGTAAATGCGCCCGTGCACGTGTACCTGTGACCATGTACTTTCACCTAGCGGTGGGTGCCGCTAGTTTCCTTCATTTTTCGTGCAATTTTTCTATCTACAAACAAAGTTGCAGGATGTAAACTGTGCTAAATCAATCCACAAATAAATCAATTAAAATTGTAATTAAATTATACCTACATTAAATGAAAAAGGACCCATCTGAGCTATTCTAGGATTGATAAATCATCGATGCAATTCGTCTCCCATAAAAAATTTCGACACGATCCACTCCATCGAACAAAACGCAAAACAATTCAATACATTTCGCAAGCGTGTTGAGCCCATCGCTGCGGCTTATGCCACGAGGGTACACGCTGGCACACACAGAGATACGTACACGTAATCGACGAGTAGGGAAAGAGGATACGCGTGTGTTCACCTACACGTGTACGTAAATGGGAAACGCACGAATACATAGAGGTAAGAGGCAAGCAAATGGGCTCTCGTGAGCGAGAGACCGAAGAAAATACATAACCCCTCTATTTTATGTGCCTGACCATTGTGTGAGTGGAGGCACCGATACGTAGGTACCGTGTGTAAATGTACGTTCGTACACGACTGCACTACAGCTACGTTATTCATCCGAACGTATGTATGAGTATATATAGGTCTGATGCGTGTACATGTGTGTTTACACACGACCTTCCCCATGTATACGAGTATCTGGGTCAGTGTCTTCCTCGAGAGTGGCTTTTCGAGCCTCGATTCGGTGTTCCCGCCTCGATTTTCCTTGATTTTGTAAACTTGTTTCTCTCTTTTTTGTTTTCGTTACCAAGGTCGGCTGTAACTGATTGCCACGTGGCATTTTTGGAATTTTGTTATTGAATGATGATCCTTTTTGTAACTGCATCTTTTAAAAGGGTGAGCAACGATTCGCCTGTCAAGAATACGATATTATCGAGGTGCTTAAGCAATCACCGTAATAAGTACGAATTAATTCGACGAGCAACACCTTCTACCAGCAATCGGACACGTCTTGGCGTAATCGTCTCGAGTGCTCGCGATTGAGCAATGTGGGTGAAGGCTAATGGCCGACCTCAAAGTTTTAATCGACCATTTTCGCGAAACAACAACGCCTTACCTTCCTCTACCTCCATATTCCTTCTTCACCTTCTTATTTTCCCCTCTATAGTTACGGCTCTTTGTCGAGCAACTTTGTTTCCAAGTTATGGTTAAAAAAAAAAAGAGAGGAGGAACGAAATTGATGGCTGCACAGATTTTTCTGCACGGTCGAGTTCTTGCGGTAGCCTGTTCCGGTTAAGGCGCTGGACACGGAATGAATTTCATAGGAATATAAAAAGATTTTCTTTGTCAAGGACTTGAGAATCGAAAGTCGTCGACGAAGATTTAAATGATTAATTAGGAAGCATTTCAGCGAAAAATAGCGTTGTTATCTTTGAACGTATCTCATTGGAGAATAAAAGAAAAGCGATTACGAGAGAACAGTAGCTCTCATCGCGATCAAACGGTAACAGAACGGAACAGCGTCGTTGATGGATT